GGCTGAACAGTTCTGAGCAGCTCTATTTCAAACTTGAAAACAATCAAATAAGTTCAATTCGCTCACCCAGACGACAAATAAATGAAAGCAGTGCACTGACTTTAAACTCACCATTTAATAAACGTCAACGCTTCAATCTAACACCCATTTCTAAATACTAAATGGTGCTGATAACCAGGAGAGAGTAGCTGGTTAGCGTTAGCTTAGCTAGCATGCTGCCAGCTCTGCTCACTACAAAACAGGTTCGATTCTGACTAACAGAAGCGTTACTGACACAAATTTAGATGATAATGACTCAGCTCAGAGGAAGCGAAGTTGAGCGGCTGATGTTAGAGGTGCAGAAAGCCGGTGCATCCTAGCCAAGCTAATGCTAGCCAGCTCCTCTCACCTAGCTTACCTCACGAGATCCAAACACTCCAGCGGAGGTTTGACTCGACTAACTGGTGCTCTAACATCACAAATATTGATGATGAAAACTTACAACAGCGAGAGAAAAGTCGACTGATTGATGGTGGAGTGACAGAAAGCCAAAGTCGGATTTGTTCTGTTAGAGCTTTAAGCTGTAGCCTGCTATGCTAAGCTAACGTGCGTGTACGGTGCCTCGCCTGCAGTACGGGCTCGGTTCTAGCGAACCGATGATTAAAACTCCTGTTTAGAGGATAAAGACTTGTGTCTGAGAGCACAATTTCGAATGACGGGTGTTGAAGTGACAAAAATAAAAGTTACACTTGTTCTGTGGTTCTTTGTACTAGACCCTGTCAGGCTAATGTAGCTATCCAGCTACACGTGAAACCCTCTGCAGTACAGTCTGTTTCAGTAGAGATACTGGAGTTGGAGTGACAGACAGACTCAAACATGTTTTGTGGTGGGTGGGGTGTATGTAGCTATTAGCCTGTTAGCAGTTAGCCACTGATTTGTGTAGTTTTCTTGGGTATTTCCTGGTTCTGATTTAGTGGAACAACAGAGAAGAAACTGTAACCGGTCTCATGGGTTGGGACCAGCCCATAATGGCACGGTACGGCCCTGAGAACCATTTGACTTGACAGTGGAAAAGCGGCCAATGATGTGGAACCGTTAGGGGTTCTGTTGATGCTTATAACAGAAAACTCTAGGAAAATAAACCTGAATCTGTCAAACGTCTAACACTGCATACTGATGATTGATCAGCTTCTCAGAGTGACGCTGACCTTCTCTGTCCACGACACCAGGACCTTTCTCATTACTCTCATTACTCTACACGCCTTCATTGATCATTAATCAATTAACAGCCAACTTGCTGATCAAAACTCTCCTGCTGCAGCACTATTGATCTCAGTGGTGACAAGCTGCTGTGACAGCGCTGGCTTTTCCTAAACAGCCCCTTCTGATCAGCTCAATTGGGCAATAATTGGTCTTAGTGTGGTGCGATCAATAGAAAATTAGGTTTTTAATAACAGGTCAGGTCATGTGGCTGTAGTTAGGCATGGTGTTGTTCTAATACACCTGAAGCTGCTGAAGGGCTTCTCACGTTTTCAATACAGATCATATAAAACAGTTATGAGAAAATGACTTAAAACAACAAGTAAAAAAATATATAAAAATCTAGAAATAAGTTGAACAATATTATAATATTACTACAAGAGTTTCATAAGAAAAAAATACGTACAGTTGCATGCTTTGTTGATGTAAATGTGCAAAAATGATGATGGCACTTTTTGTGTTTTAAATTCTATTTTCCTTCAGTTTTTGTAAATCCAATAAATAGATATTGGGTTCTAAAATTAGCAAAAAATGTAATATTTAAATTTGTTTCGCTGTACAAGATGTGTCAACTGATTTTCACTCAGAAAAAATTAACAAAATCTTGTAATTTAACTATGGATGTCTAAAGAGTTGCTTAAAGTTATATATACTGACTAGATTTAAGACAATTTCACTTGCCAAGATATATGTTTTTACAGTGCATTTGTTTTTATTTGTGTTTATTATAATGTTTATACAGCGTTTTTGCTGGGAAATTCAAATGTGCCTGCCAGATAAACAGTGATGAAACCGTTTTCCTGGCTTAGACTTTAGCTGTACATATAAATAGGTTCAGTGAATTTGCTGACTGTATGGTTAATAATTATGGCTGAAGGTCTTAATGTTCCCAGTTTCATGTCAAGCGTGCCTCTTGTAATTCACATTAGGTAGTGGAAAATTCTGTTTACTTTGCAAGCCTGAGCATCACACGCAGTAACTATCAGGGGAGGAATCTGGACAGTGTGGTAGGGGAGTGAAGGTGTGGATGCAGGCTGGTTAGCAGAGGGATTATGGGGGATTGTAACAGTGGTCTATTGAATTTTTTATTTTGTGCCATAGTAGTTTTTCTAGAGGTGTTAGTTTCTTTGCTAATCATTTTAACTAGCATTTTGCTATTCTTTTGCTTGCATTTTTTTCTATTTGCTTCTGGAATCTCTCTCTTGCTCCTGAGTTTTCCTGAGAAACATCTCCTGAGAAACATTTTTCAGGTTGGTGGGGCTTTAAAGAGGGCATTTGATGATGTTTTTGCATGTCTACTATGTTGGAGCTATGGGTCTTCTGACCATTAGCCACCTCCGCTCTGAACCATGGAAAGTTCCCAACAAGGAGAAACATGCTGTACCAAGCATAGTGCTGTACTGTGAAATGAAGCTGATGCACCTTTGAGCTGCAGCGTACTAGTATAACAGTGAGTGTGTTTACATGCACTTAATAATCCGATAACTGCAGAAAATCAGATTTTGTTAGTAATCGGATCAACGACTTCACATGCACTCGAGTAATCAGATAATGGGGAAACTCCAGGTCTACATGAGTCAGACAGTAATCAGATTTCTGCTTTACAACCAGCCAATAAACTCACAGAAGACGAGACGTAAACATAACATAAAAGTCTAACCTCATTTAGAAGATCATACATCATCTAGAAGATGAAGAATATTTAAATACTTCATTTCATCAAGCATGTATTTGGTTTCAGCATCACTGCAAAAGTGTTTTGCTGCGTCTCGCGGCGACGCTGCTCACTTATTTTCGGTACGGCAGTCTGTTTTCGCACATGAGAAGAGTTTACAGAAATCTGATTACGGCTCTAAAATTCAGCCTCTTATCAGATTTCTTAATCGGATTTATAGAGCAGAGTATGGTGTTTACGTGACCATTTGAATAATTGGATAGCAGAAATCTGATTATTGAGTGCATGTAAACGCACTCAGTGTTAGCGAGTGGGCTATCAGCCAGCTGCTTAGAGAAGCCTGTGGTTGTTGAGTGTGGCACATTTGGAGAGTCAGAGATCTGATTACACTCTGGAATTCTCATCCACAGACAATTATCAACAGGTCCTAACGAGTCAATTAACGTCTAGAAAGGAAAGACAAACACTCAGAAATTCATAAGAATGTTCTGAAAAACAATTCTTGACTTCAAAAAGTCTCTTAAGATAATCTTAATTATTTTCTTAAGATTTTCTTAGGAAAATCTTCATTGTTTTTTAGTTGGCTACAATGCTTTTATTTCCCTGTACCATAGATGAAGCGAGATACAGTTCAAAAACATATTAACTGTTATTTGCGTCAATTATCATCAAACCAAGCAGTCAAAAAATTGTGATGAGGAAAAAACTCTTCATTAGAAAATATGATAATTGTGGGGTGACGGACGAGGATGCTCAGAAGAGGTAGTGACCATGACAAAATCGGATGCTTACCTTGTCAACCCGTACAGCCTGAGATGAGTGTGAGACTGCCGTAAGGTTAAGAAAACATTTAGGAAAGTAATGTTATCAAGAACATCACTTATAGTTTCTATACTTTTAGAATTATTGTCAAAAATAAAATTAAGAAAAAACAAAATTTAAGAAGATTTTCTTTGTTAAGACACCTTTGTGAATCCGAACCCCAGGTTCTGAGACTTTACAACGGGGTGTCCACAGCAACCTGCCATAGTTACTATTCTTTCGTTGTAGTTTGATGCAGATGTTTACTATTTTTTGCTTCAAAAAATATGCATGGCTAAACATCTTCAGGCTCCTGCAGATGGCGCTGCATGAGAATGATCGGGCTATAAATACAGGCAAGATTTATAGATTGAGAAGAAGCGGTACAGTGCAGTGAATGTCTCGTTCAATGTGTGGAAAAAGGGTCGCAAGTGGCTGTTAATGATTGGCAAAAAGGATTGATTGCATTTGGGCATGTCAAAGGCCACAGTGTGAAGGAAGTAGCTATATTGCGAAGTGTACAGTGATACGGGTCGACCAGTCTACAGGAATTTCTCATCAGAATTGTGCCCGAAAGATGAAACTGACGGACAGGGTCCACCGGCATGTTTCATGGCTTGTGAATAAAAATCACTTCGCTTCCAGACCAGAACTGCTTCTAGATGTCAATGCAGTTCTTCACAACCAATTTCTGAAAGAACTCTCCACAGGGAACTACGTACCATGAACATATGGAGCAGAGTGGCAGCAAGAGGCCTTTGCTCACTTCTGCTCACAGAGTTTCCCGGTTACAGTGGACGAAGAGACAAAAAACTGGACTGTTCATAACTGGAAACGTGTTATCTGGTCAGATGAATCTGGTTTCTGCCTGTATGTGAATGATGCTCGGTGTCATGTTCATCGTAGACCTCAGGAAGCCTTCAATGAGGACTAAGGTGTGGTTCAACCTGGAGGCTCTGTGATTCTCTGGGAGATAGGAGGAGTAAATCTGCCCCGCTGGAGAGCAGAGGAGTACAGGGGAAAGAGAAAAAACGAGTGATGATGGAGAGAAGAGCCTTAGCATGGCTGACCTTTTATAAAAGCGTTTTTACTCTGGTTATGTTTTCAGCATGACCCTATTATAGTGTCTCATTCACTGAGAGGAGACACAGCTTTACAGCCTGAAAACAAAGAAAACGAATAAAAAGGAAATAAAACAGACGTTTAGTTTCCATTAAAGACTCAATGTGTTATGTTTCTCTCTCTCTCTCTCTCTCTCTCTCTCTCTCTCTCTCTCTCTCTATAGCTCCTCCTGAGCCGTTGTTGTGTAAGTTTGCTGATGGAGGACAGAAGAAGAAACCGAGTCAGAGCAAATACACTCAGAACAGAGCATGGAGCAGAGAGGGAGAGGTACACACACACACACACACACACAAATGTAGGCGTTGATATAAACTGAGTCTGTTCTACAGTTTCTCATTAGGCTGAATGAATAACTGATTCTAAATGTAGGTATTGTGATATAAACTGAGTCTGTTCTACAGTTTCTCATTAGGTTGAATGAATAACTGACTCTAAATGTAGGTATTGTGATATAAACTGAGTCTGTTCTACAGTTTCTCATTAGGCTGAATGAATAACTGACTCTAAATGTAGGTATTGTGATATAAACTGAGTCTGTTCTACAGTTTCTCATTAGGCTGAATGAATAACCGACTCTAAATGTAGGTATTGTGATATAAACTGAGTCTGTTCTACAGTTTCTCATTAGGCTGAATGAATAACCGACTCTAAATGTAGGTATTGTGATATAAACTGAGTCTGTTCAACGGTTTCTCATTAGGCTGAATGAATAACAGACTCTAAATGTAGGTATTGTGATATAAACTGAGTCTGTTCTACGGTTTCTCATTAGGCTGAATGAATAACCGACTCTAAATGTAGGTATTGTGATATAAACTGAGTCTGTTCTACAGTTTCTCATTAGGCTGAATGAATAACCGACTCTAAATGTAGGTATTGTGATATAAACTGAGTCTGTTCTACAGTTTCTCATTAGGCTGAATGAATAACCGACTCTAAATGTAGGTATTGTGATATAAACTGAGCCTGTTCTACAGTTTCTCATTAGGCTGAATGAATAACCGACTCAACAGTAGCTATGAAAGAACACATTTGTGGGCGGAGCCTTGATGGGACATTTCAACCCCTCTAAATCCACTAACTCATTATCATCTCTCTCCATGTCTCTCTCCCCTGTTGCTCATATCTTTTCATATATCTCAGACATAATAAGAGTGATAGTGCCTTCAGGGAGGAAACGATGGAGGGAGGGAGAGAGAGAGAGAGAGAGAGAGAGAGAGAGAGAGAGAGAGAGAACAAACAGTAGGGATGCAGATGAAATCTGCCATGCTCAGCAGCCTGAGATAGATTAGTGATTCTCCAGGGGAGAGAAAGAGAGAGAGAGAGAGAAAGAGGGAAAGGCAGGAAGACAGAGTGTGATATAGGGAGAGAAATGAAAGAGAGTGAGAAGGAAAGAGCGGGAGAGACAATGACAAAGTAGAGAAAGACAGAGAGAGAGGAGATAAAAAATAGAGAAAGAGGGAGAGAGCAAGAGACAAGAGGTAGACAAAGAAGGAGAGAGGGATGGGGACACAGAGACAGAAGAGAAGAGAGAGAGAAATGTGATAGAGAGAAGAGAAAGAAAGATGGTAAATTGCAGCATTTGAGTGATTTTCTTCATGTTGTTCAGTCATACACAATTTGGATATCAATACTGTACATCACTGAAACTGAAATATCTCTGTTGCAGAATGGAGTGACATTAACGTACGATCCTGCAGCTTTACAGAACGGGTAAGACATACACCCTGACTCTTATTTACTCAGAAACAGAGTGAGGCAGAGAGAGAGGCTTAATATGGGCTGCTGAAACTCAATCAGTAAAACTAGCATCATTTCAGAAAAGGTCTAGATCTTCAGGAATTGCCTATATTTTGTAACTAGCAAATAAAAAATGATCATGTAGATTTCAAAATATCATTTAGAGGTCAATCACATTTGAGATACTAATAGCAATTTGTCTTGAATGCTTTTAATCTTTCGTTAAACCACACTGAAAGCTCTGACATGATCTGTACTTAAATAATCAAGTTATGATCACTGAATGTTAGCTGCAGTCACTCAGTTTGTGGTCATTGCAATTATGTGAATGCTGTGAAAATGAATAAATTAAATAGTGAATTAGTTACTTGAACATTCTAGAGCAGTATTTTTTGTGTACCTATTCAGCTGCAGGCCCAAACACAAAATCACTTGCAAGCCCAATCACTCAGCTACCTGCAAGCCCAAAGACCCAATCACCTGCAAGCCCAAAGACCCAATCACATGCAAGCCCAGTCACCTGCAAGTCCAAACACACAATCACATGCAAGCCCAAAGATCCAATCACCTGTAACCCTAAACACCAAATCACCTGCAAGCCCAATCACCCAGTTACCTGCAATCCCAATCACCCGATCACATGCAAGCCCAATCATCCAACCACATACAAGCCCAAAGACTCAATCACCTGCAAGCCCAAACACCTGTGCAATTATGTGAATGCTGTGAAAATGAATAAATTGAATAGTGTAGTCGTTACTTGAACATTCTAGAGCAGTATGGTTTGTGTACCTATTCAGCTGCAGGCCCAAACACAAAATCATTTGCAAGCCCAAAGACACAGTCACCTGCAAGCCCAAAGACCCAGTCACCTGCAAGCCCAAAGACCCAGTCACCTGCAAACCCAAACACTCAGTCACCTGCAAGCCCAAAGACCCAGTCACCTGCAAGCCCAAAGACCCAGTCACCTGCAAGCCCAAACACCCAGTCACCTGCAAGCCCAAAGACCCAATCACCTGCAAGCCCAAACACCCAATCACCTGCAAGCCCAAACACCCAGTCACCTGCAAGTCCAAAGACCCAGTCACCTGCAAGTCCAAACCCAAAATCATCTGAGAGCCCAAAGACCCAATCACCTGACCACCTGCAATCCCAAATGCCTAGTCACCTGCAGGCCTACACACCTGACCACCTGCAAGCCCAAACACCCAATCACCTGCAACCTCAATCACCAAATCACCTACAAGCCCAATCATCCAATTTCCTGCAAGTCTAAACACCCGACCACCTACCCAAGCACTCAAATGTTCAATCACTTCTCTCTCTCTCTCTCTCTCTCTCTCTCTCTCTCTCTCTCTCTCTCTCAGGTTTTATTCTTCTCCGTACAGTTTTGCTTCTAACAGAATGATCACCCAAACCTCCATCACGCCTTTCATCACTGCCTCACCCGTCTCCACATATCAGGTAACCTGGCTGTGTGTGTGATAGAGGGGGAGAGAGAACCAGACACAAGTTGGCATTTGGTGAAAGGAAGAGAGACAACAAGACAGACAGAGAGGAATAAGATAATTACTGAAAAGCAGAGACAACCAGACTGACAGAAAGAGAAGGAAATAGATGACTGTGTTTGGTGAAGGAGAGAAGGATCAGGAGTGATGAAGGAGAAAAAGAGAGGGCAAAGAGACAGAAGTGTGTTTGCTGAAGGTTACTGTGTCTCTTCATTTCTCTCTGATTAAATGTCCTCCTGTATTTGTCTTCATAAACTGATTGATCAGAAAGAGAGCGGATATTAATCCTGCTGTTCCAGAAGCTTCTCTCCTGCTGACCTTCAGCCTCCAGCGCTCTAATATCTCCATCTGTCTGCCTTCATTCCTCTGTCCATGGCATGCAGAGAGAGAAACGTACTGCCTCAAGGCACAGACAGGAAACATCAGCAAAAAGGGGGAGATAGACAAATCTGTCAGAATTACTAGACATGAATTAACTCTTTGACTGCCTTCAGAGGTCAAACTTTCACACAAACTAGCCTAATTTCAAAGCAGTTTAAAGTAATTTAATAATTTAATTAAAGTCACATTCAAAGCACTTGATCATTCATTTAATTAGCAAGTTATACACATTTTCTAAGCTGCTTATCCCTCTGGGTCACGGGGGGAGCTGGAGCCTATCCCAGCAGTCGGGATTGGGCGGAAGGCAGGAAACACCCTGGACACACCTGGACACACACTCGCACCTAGGGGCAATTTAGCATGTCCAGTTGGCCTGACTGCATGTCTTCGGACTGAGGTAGGAAAACAGAGCACCTGGAGGAAACCCACACAGACACGGGGAAAACATGCAAATTTCACTCAGAAATGGACCTTGCTGTGAAGCGATAAGGCTACCCCCTGCATCACCGTGCCGCCTGTTAGCAAGTTTAGTAGCTAGCATTTTGTGTTTGTTATATTCATTCTAAATAACAGAGATAACAGCAGGCTATCAAAGCAGAACAAACAGCTGTTCAGTAGCTGTCATGTTATTGTTAGGGGGCTAGCTAGTTACCAGTAAAAAGGGTCATCTTAGAAAACATCAGTCTTTGCACCAATCTTAGAAAAAAGCTACATTCTGTCAAGCTGACTTGACTCGGAGATACAAGACTTGACTCAGACTCACACCTCACAGACTCAAGACCTGGATTCATGCCTTAAAGACTTGACTCAACTTCACACCTAACCTAAGAAAATTGAGACTTGACCTGCACCTCAAAGACTTGGACTCGCACCTGTAAGACTCAAGACTTGGACTCGCACCTCTAAGACTCAAGACATGACTCAGAGACACAAGACTTGACTCATACTTCACATCTCAGAGACTCGAGACCTGGATTTGCAGCTCAAAGACTTGACTCGACCTCACACCTCAGAGACCCAACTCAGACTCAACCTAAGAAAATCAAGACTTGACTTGCACCTCAAAGACTCAACACTTGACTTGGACTCAAGACTTGGATTTGCACCTCTAAGACTCAAGACTTCACTCGGAGACACAAAACGTCACTCAAACTCACACTTCAGAGACTCCACTTCTGCCTCAGAGACACAAGACATGAACTGACATGAATATTTCTGGCATACTTTCAGACAGAACCAAAACATATGTACTCAAGACCTCCAAACGCCATCACAGAGTGGACAGACAAAAGTTTTACTGTTGAATAATGCAAATGAGGATGTTGGACACCTTTTGGCAACCACCATGTGCAATATTAAAGACAATCACTGAATATGTCAGGGGTGCACAACTCCTGTTCTGGAGCACAATTTCTCCAGCACAATTTAGTGATTTACCTGTTCAAACACACCTGATTTAACTCATCTGTTAATTGCCAGGTTTAGTGGGTGTGTTTGAGCAGGGAAACGACCAAGCTGTGCTGGACAACAGCGCTCCAGGACTGGAGTTGTGCACCCCTGGGATATGTGGTAAGGACTCCCAGAGACCTACACCCCAGAGATTTGAGACTTGATTCAGATTCCGACCTCAGAGACTCAAGACTCAGACTCACACTCCAAAGATTTGAGGCACAACTCAAACTCACACCTCAGAAATGTGACTCAGACTCATACTTCAAAGACTTGAGACACAAATCTCACTTGCAACTCAGACACTCAAGACTCGACTCTCACTCACACTTCAGAGACTCGAGACTTGACTTGGACTCAGACCTCAGAGACTTGAGACTTGACTAGGACTACCACCTCAGAGACTCAACCCTGACTCAAATCCCGGACACTTGAGACTCAACTCAGACTCATACTCCAGACACTCAAGATTTAACTTAGACTCAGAGTCACACCTTAGAGACTCAGCTTGGGTTCGGGCTCACCTCAGGAACCCAATGGTGACTCTCACCTCAGAGACTCAAACCTTTACTCAGACTCACATCTCAGAGATTCGAGACCTGAATTCACACCTCAAATACTTGAGACTTGACTCGACCTCACAGCTCAGAGACTCGACTTGGACTCAACCTAAGAAAACGAGACTTGACTTGTAACTCAAAGACACAAGACTTGACTCAGACTCACACCTCAGAGACACAAGGTTCAGATTTGCACCTCAAAGACTCAAGACTCAACTTGGACTCACACCTCAGAGATTCTATTCCTGCCTTAGAGACACAATACATGAACTTGTGTGGATATTTCTGGTGCACACTTTTGGACAGAACCAAAACATATGTACTAAAGAGAACCCCAAGCATCGTCACAGAGTGATCAGACATTTGGTTTGATTCTGTGCACCTTCACTTTTGAATAATGCAACCTATGCATAACCCTGAACTGAAGCCTGGCATTGGGGTCTCACAGCATTTATAGAATAAACAGTTGGGTGGTGACCCCAGCATTATTATATGTTCTATATTGGACGCTGTGTTTGTTTGAATTCTAGAGATTGATTTGCCAATAAAGGTCAAACACACAATGTCTGTTTACACTGTTTCACATCAATTGATTTATAATTCAGACAAACACACACACAGACACACACACACATGTATTAAAGAATGGAATTCAAGCTTTTCTGCAGCAGACAGTTTTTATGAGTATGATTATGCTTTGTGTCATTATGGTTTAGAGTAAGAGAAACAGCTGAATGTGTTTAGATTGTGGTGAACAGAGTTGCTCTCTAATGATATTAGATGGTATGTTTGTTTTGGGGCTAATGAACTTTTGGTCACTGAACTGAACTTGAATGTATTAGATTCTGTTGGATCCAGCCCTTAACCTAATCCTGATTCCAACACTGCCACAGTGGGTAGCACTGTCGCCTCCCAGCAAGAAGGGCCTGGGTTCGTTTCCATGGCCGGGTGACCAGGGTCCTTTCTGTGTGGAGTTTGCATGTTCTCCCCATGTCTGCATGGTTTTCCTCCCACAGTCCAAAGACTTGCAGTCAGGCTAATTGGACATGCTAAATTGCCCCTAGGGGAGAATGTGTGTGAATGTCTGTGTGTCTGCCCTGTGATGGACTGGTGACCTGTCCAGGGTGTATCCTGCCTTCCACCCAATGACTTCTGTTATAGGCTCCAGCTCCCCCCACGACCCAGAAGGATAAGCGGCTTAAAAGGTGTGTGTGACTGAACTCATTCTGATAATAGATTAAGACTGAGGTGTTTATATTCTCACTCTACTCAACAGTCTGATGGATAATCTCTGTTTACATTCACACTACAAGCAATCAGATCCAAAATTATGTGCATGTGTAGAGAACCACTTAATGTAGATGTTACCATGGCAACAAGCATCATGAGTCCAGTCAGAGTGTAGTCTAACATGTAAGGCCTTCAGTCCAGCTCCTGAGGTCCTAACCAATGGGAGAGCTCACTGAGCTGAATTTACCTATATAGCACAGAGAAAACAATTATGATTGGATACATTTTTGATATTATTTGGAGTTTTTAAAGAATTAGTTTCCAGCCAAAATTTAAGAATGATGTAAGTGCATTCCCACAACACTTACAGAGTTTAAAAACAACAAACATCATGGTTCTATTATGTTCTATAGTGTTTTTATTTCACATAAATCATCAAGGCCCTGAGTGTTCCTCTCTGACTTTATCTCTGATGTTATATAATAATGTTAAAATTAGTATGCATTTGTTAGTAGCAAATTAAGTACTAATACATATCTAGAAATAAATATTAATTTATATAATCATAATAATCATGTTTTGTTCTCTGCACATTTTAAGGGATTTTGTTTTAGCTCATTAGGCAGAGAGGAGTCTCAGAATAATTCACACATCAAAATATATATTTAGAAATTAAAATCCTCATTGTTCTCTCTGCAGGTTCAGAGTACGTCATGGATGCCTCATCAGCAGTATGTTATGCAACCGACTGTGAGTGACCTAGAACTTCTTACCTTTAACCTTTCATTTGACCTGTGAAATGACTGATGTGCCCCAGAGATTGATAATTATCAAATAAAGTAATTGATCTTTTAATAGCTTTCGTCAAGCAATTTTTTTTTTATTTAAGTTTTTGAAATTTGCATTGTTATGCACCATGCTGCTTTGTGCACTACAGGTCAACAAGAAGCTTTTTTTTTAAGTTTCAAACTAATTTTAAATTAAAGTCAATTTCTGTCACAGCCATTGGAAACACATCACATGTCGCTGACGTGTACTTTGCCAAAAAGCGTAAAAAAAAATGTAAATAAAGATTGAATTATAGCAACACTTTGAATGTGTATTATCTGCAGTTTCTAAACCATGAATCATTTTGGTTGAAAGCTGTGTTAATATGTATTTACATTTCGCTGAGGTCGAAACAAAACCTATCATCTCCATTTTTGTTGTTTTTCAGTTTTTGACATAATTTGAAAATCCCTGCTGCCCTTTACATTGTGCGTAAATTTCATGATGATTGGACCAAAAAAAGACCAAAGAAATGTCCCAAAAAAGACTGTAAAAAAGTCTGGTTCCATTGACTTACATTTAAAGTAAAGTACGTTCCTGTAAAGTTACCATTTTGGAGATATGAGGCTTTGTTCCAACAACAGCACATTTCATACACAAATCAATTCAACACTTGATTTGAAGGCTACCTACATAGGGACTACATAACATGTTCATAAGCACTGAATAACATAAATATTCAAATATTACTTTATAATTATGTCCAGCTTATGCTAGTTACCGCAAGATGAAGTAAGATGTTCTATGAAGTAAATGCGACTGCACTTACATAAGGGACCTCAAACTAAAGTGAAGAACATTTTGTTTCATTTATAACACTATTATGAAGCATCATTCCCAAGTAATAGAACTTAGAAGGTCTAGTTTAGACATTTCTAGCAGTCCTGCATAGTTTTACATGAGGTAAAGTACAAAACCATTATGTCAATGCAATGTCATTTATTTCACCATATGGGTGGTATCTCAATTACTGGCATAAGATGTTTATAAACACTCAAGTACTGCTTCATGAATATGTTATTCCGTGCTTATGCATGTGTCATGACGTAGGTAGCCTTCAAATAAAGTGTTACCGGCAATTCAATGTGCTTTACGTAAATAAAAGCAAAAGGAACATCAAAAGGAAAATGAAGACAAAGTACTTAAGCAGAAAAACAGAAAAAAGTATTAAATAATATTAAAGCTTATGGAATCCTGAGATCTAACAGTGCATTTGCAAAGGTAGTTACAAAAAGAATAATAGTACTAAAGATAGGCAATAAAATAAATGCTAAATATAAAAGACAAAATAATAGCAAGTAACATAAGGGATTAAACGAAATTGAAGTAGTGATTAGGGTACAGTGTAGTGCTAAACAAAGGCACAAGAAAAAAAGAATGTCTTTAATCTGGACGTAAAGATGGATGTATCTGGAGCATATCTGACATCATCTGGGAGTTTGTTCCAGCAAGTGGCAGCATAGAGACTGAATACCACTTCACCCTTTTTGGTTCTGATTCTGGGTTCTACTAACTGACCGGTCCTGAGTGATCAGAGAGGCTCACTGGGTTCATTTACTTCAAGCAGATCAGCAGTGTGTTTTGGTCCAAGGCCAGTCAGAGATTTATATACAATTCGAACCACTTTAAAGTCAATTCTGTACCTAGTTGGTTGTCAGTGACTTGAGGATTAGAGTGATGTGCTCAGATCTGTTAGTTCTTGTAAGCATTCTAGCAGCTGTGTTTTGAATGACCTGTAGCTGACTGACTGGGGTTTTGGGAAGGCCAGTAAAGAGACCACTGCAGTAGTCCAGCCTGCTGGAGACAAAGGCATGAATTTGTTGTTGTAACATTATAATTTATTATTTAAACGTTGAGAAGTTCTTGTGATGGTAAAAGTCTGAAACTGTAGAACAGACTCAGTTTATATCACAATACCTACATTTAGAGTCGGTTATTCATTCAGCCTAATGAGAAACTGTAGAACAGACTCAGTTTATATCACAATACCTACATTTAGAGTCGGTTATTCATTCAGCCTAATGAGAAACTGTAGAACAGACTCAGTTTATATCACAATACCTACATTTAGAGTCGGTTATTCATTCAGCCTAATGAGAAACTGTAGAACAGACTCAGTTTATATCACAATACCTACATTTAGAGTCGGTTATTCATTCAGCCTAATGAGAAACTGTAGAACAGACTCAGTTTATATCACAATACCTACATTTAGAGTCGGTTATTCATTCAGCCTAATGAGAAACTGTAGAACAGACTCAGTTTATATCACAATACCTACATTTAGAGTGAGTTATTCATTCAGCCTAATGAGAAACTGTAGAACAGACTCAGTTTATATCACAATACCTACATTTAGAGTGAGTTATTCATTCAGCCTAATGAGAAACTGTAGAACAGACTCAGTTTATATCACAATACCTACATTTAGAGTGAGTTATTCATTCAGCCTAATGAGAAACTGTAGAACAGACTCAGTTTATATCACAATACCTACATTAAGAGTCGGTTATTCATTCACCCTAATGAGAAACTGTAGAACAGACTCAGTTTATATCACAATACCTACATTAAGAGTCGGTTATTCATTCACCCTAATGAGAAACTGTAGAACAGACTCAGTTTATATCACAATACCTACATTTAGAGTCGGTTATTCATTCAGCCTAATGAGAAACTGTAGAACAGACTCAGTTTATATCACAATACCTACATTTAGAGTCGGTTATTCATTCAGCCTAATGAGAAACTGTAGAACAGACTCAGTTTATATCACAATACCTACATTTAGAGTCGGTCATTCATTCAGCCTAATGAGAAACTGTAGAACAGACTCAGTTTATATCACAATACCTACATTTAGAGTCGGTCATTCATTCAGCCTAATGAGAAACTGTAGAACAGACTCAGTTTATATCACAATACCTACATTTAGAGTGAGTTATTCATTCAGCCTAATGAGAAACTGTAGAACAGACTCAGTTTATATCACAATACCTACATTTAGAGTCGGTTATTCATTCAGCCTAATGAGAAACTGTAGAACAGACTCAGTTTATATCACAATACCTACATTTAGAGTCGGTTATTCATTCAGCCTAATGAGAAATGTTTTATGTAGAGTTATGTGAAGTTTGTACAACCTCACAATGGTAGATATGGAATAGCACATTTGTGAGCTTTGATAAATTAAACTCCACTGTAGTTATTTTGCAGTAAATAAATCTATGGTCATTTTAAGCCCATGTACTCTAATGTTTATGTGCCTACATTGTTTCACAGCGCTTTTAAGCTGACGGTAGCTGCTTCATGTCCGAGCGCTGTGGGGATTTGGGATATTTTCTTATTCCAGTCTGAAAGCATCAGTCAGACTGTCAGTGAATATGACAGAGCTTGTTTACAGCCTGGAGAGGACTTTTATTCTGGTATATTTTTAGAAATGATGGAGGAACAGGAGCCCGAGCAGCCAGAGCATATCGGAAAATCAATTTATAATACAAACACACAAGACAGCACAACAGACTGTTTACCGCAGCAGACAGTTTCTATGAGTATGACTGTGTTCTGCGTATCATTATGATTAGTATAATGAGAGGAACAGTTTTTAGTGGCTTTTGGATTGTGGTGAAGCACTTTACTCTGTAATAATGAGTCTCTCTATCTCTCTCTCTCTCTCTGTCTCTCTTTCCTTTTCTCTCCCTTTGAAGTTCAAAGCTGTTATAAGTATGTACTGTTGAGTAATATATAAGTTTGTAAAATCTAATTCATTAATTGTGGTTTTGTAATAAACTGTATTTAACTATAACTGTGCTGTAATTTTGTCAGCAATTATGGTGTCATTCAGGGGTGCATCAAAATTTTGCCCCCCCAAAAAAGTTTCAGTTTTCAAAAACAGCACATCTGTTTTTTTGACACAAAAAATATTGGTTTTAAATATGTTGACACTTAGATTCCTGCTACATAATAACAATGCCATGAAATAAACAGATAATAGATCATAACAATATAACAGTGTCATGTGACCATTAGTGGGCTAAAATATCATAATATTTGGGCCCAATCCCAGTTCACCCCTAGCCCCTACCACTTAGCCCTTAGCCCTCTGTTTTGCACGTTGACGTCTAGGGGTAGGGTGTCCTGATTCTTGTTGAGAGAGAGGGGTAGGGTGAAGTGGTGGGGCAACATGGCCCTCCAAACAGAGGTTTTTCAGAGGCTCACACCAAACACAGTGTTATAAGACTGCACTAATGACCAAAGAAACCCACAAACGTGAGAATTTTCTCTGTTAAAAAATGACAATAACCTCTGTATTTTCTTAGTTTAATGCCGTTTCACTGTATTATGGTCGTTTTTCTTCATAACAAGCATAAAAAATCACTAATAGCATGCTAATGTCTCAGTAGCTAGCTAGCTAACTTTTCCGTTCCACCTTAAATAGTCCAGCAGTTCTGACGCCTGAAGTGCCAGAATGCAACTGCTGCACCACTTAAGGTGGAACAGGAAAATTCAAACAAGAAGCTGTTGAATATCTGACTTCAGCTTCATATCACTGAAGATTTTTTTGTTTTATTTGAGGGTCCCATTTCGTAGGGCAAGATTTCAACCACTACCCTGTAACTCAGTTCCAAGTGGCTAGGGTGGCACTCGAAAACAAGGGGTAGGGGTAAAAAGAAGGGATGGCTGACAAGAGTAAACAAAAATTATCATATGATATAAATTAAAAATAACAAAACAAAAATTAAACATAAATAACGAAGTATTCAGAGCTTTATTTACAAGGATTGTTATTTAAACCCAAGGCATAAATAGGGATAGTAATAAGCTAAATATATACAAAATTATCATTTATAGGGTACTTTCTATGAGTCTGTCCCAAATACTAACTCTGAAAAAATAATACTTATATTTTTTCAATGTTTTATTTTTAGAGATCCTTTTTTTATAGTGACGTTGAAACACTGGTACATGGTGAGCAGTTAGATGTACTTAGAAGTAAATGTGTCCCAAAGTCTGAAAATTGGTCACTTAACTGCAATTAAGTACTTTTTAGTGTTGTAATGTAAAAAAATATGATTTTCTGTGTGAACAGCTGTTCAAAGCTGTGTTTGCTGGTCATGTACTGGCTGTGTTTTTGAGCTCAAAATTAGCTAAAATTGTCTCCACCAAAACAGTCCGTCCTGAATTATTTGGGTAGAATTATGATTGTTTTGGTAGAGACAAAATATAACGTTCAGTCATTTGTTTTAATAAAATAAACATAATTAAGTTATAGGGTCACTATAAGGATTTTAGTTTAAAGTCTAAGATCAGTTAAAGTCCCAAATGTGTTTTCAGCTTTGATTCTGAACCAGTTCAGTGGAATCATCCATAAATAGATTGTAGGTATGAAAATGTACAGTACATACATCACAGCTCCACCAGTGAGCAGAGAACCTGTTCTTACGACTGATACTGTTACTCTGTCTCTCTCGTTCTCTTTGTCTCTCTTAGGGAACCGTGATCACTCCATCTTTGGAACACACGACGGTCTCCATGCAGCCTGCACACCTGATATCTCCTCTAACACAGCAGATGAACCACCTAACACTGGGCTCCACAGCCAGTGTGAGTACTCAGTACTATGTCTTTAACATACGCTGAAGACCTTTCACTGGACCACCACGGCATAGAGTCCAGATCTTCAACAGTCTTGGGCTGAGTACGTCTCTCGGAGTCTGAATCATAAAATGAAATTCCAGACAGGTTTTGAGGGCATTATACAGTCCTACAATGCACTCATAATTACTAAAGAACAAAGTAGATCAGCTGAAAGTCTACAAAAAACACATTATGAGTCTCTTTACTAAGCAACACACAAAGGAACTTCAGCTAACATGGTGGCTGCTGAGCCACTGAAAACGGTTCGTGTCAGACTCTCTCGACTCTCTGGAGAAAAACTGCAGCTCTGTACAGTTAAAAACAGAGACTCTGACACGTTTACTGCCTGCTGCTCTTCACACAGCAGAATCACTGAAGATTACTGCCAGCATGGACCGCAAACTAAATGCGTATCCTAGTCAGGTTTTTCATTTTTCCTCATCCCCTTCTTTTCTGCAGATATGAATAAGAACTTCAGCCCCGTGAGAAAATTATGATGCAGGCTGATGATGAGTAATGAGGTCCACTTACGAGATTTGTGTAGTTTCATGTACCAAAAAGATCATAATTAATTTTTACATCACTATTTTCCAACCTCACTTGATGCCTTAGAATTCAACAGGCTTTTTTTGTCGCTGTGCCTTTAAGACTAGTGAAACTGGTCCTCAGGAACTCTGAGACTGCCCCATGTGTTGGGAGTTGGAGCAAACATGTAGACTACCTGGGGCTCCTGAAGACTGGTTTGAGAACCACCACTTCAAGGTCCCATACAGTCTGAGGAAATGTTGACCATACTGAGTCTGAGGAGCGAGTGACTCTACTGAGTCTGAGAACACATTGACCATACTGAGTCTGAGGAGCGAGTGACTCTACTAAGTCTGAGAACACATTGACCATACTGAGTCTGAGGAGCAAGTGACTCTACTGAGTCTGAGAAAACATTGACCATACTGAGTCTGAGGAGCGAGTGACTCTACTGAGTCTGAGAACACATTGACCATACTGAGTCTGAGGAGCGAGTGACTCTACTGAGTCTGAGAACACATTGACCATACTGAGTCTGAGGAGCGAGTGACTCTACTGAGTCTGAGAACACATTGACCATACTGAGTCTGAGAACACATTGACCATACTGAGTCTGAGAACACATTGACCATACTGAGTCTGAGGAGCGAGTGACTCTACTGAGTCTGAGAACACATTGACCATACTGAGTCTGAGGAACTGTTGACTGTACTTAGTGGTGGTGGTGTGTTAGTGTGTGTTGCGCTGGTGCGAGTGGATCAGACACAGCAGTGCTGCTGGAGTCTCTATTTAGATTTTATTCAATCTCTATTCACAGCCGTTTCAATGTATTTAGTCTCTATTCATTCTCATTTCACTCTTTATTTGGTATTTAATCAGACTTTACTAAGTCTGTGTTCTGCCTCTATTCAGACTGTGTTCAGTAGGAGACCTTACAGAGCACAGAGCCTGTTGGGTATTTTTAAAGCTCACTGTTTAAGGTCAGAGAGAGAGAGAGATAGAGAGAGAATGGTGTGATAGATGATTCCCTGGTGTGTATGAGACAGACTGCAGATAAAGTGAACAGAAACACGCCGATAGCAGGAACAGATACAGACAGAAAGAACACTGTGGAACTGTGTTATTAGAAACACCTACCCTGTACTCCCACTGACTGGCCACTTTATTAGAAACACCTACCCTGTACTCCCACTGACTGGCCACTTTATTAGAAACACCTACCCTGTACTCCCACTGACTGGCCACTTTATTAGAAATACCAACCATGTGCTTCCCACTGACTGGCCACTTTATTAGAAATACCAACCATGTGCTTCCCACTGACTGGCCACTTTATTAGAAACACCAACCATGTGCTTCCCACTGACTGGCCACTTTATTAGAAACACCAACCTTGTGCTTCCCACTGACTGGCCACTTTATTAGAAACACCAACCTTGTGCTTCCCACTGACTGGCCACTTTATAAGAAACACCAACCATGTGCTTCCCACTGACTGGCCACTTTATTAGAAACACCAATCATGTGCTTCCACTCATTGGCCACTTTATTAGAAACACCAACCTTGTGCTTCCACTGACTGGCCACTTTATTAGAAATACTTAACTTGGACCATTGGGCTGTGGAGCAGTGGAACTGTGTTGTCAGAAGTGATGGAGCTCCATCCAATACTTTTGCGATGAGTTGGAGTGATCCAGAACTGACCATCCAACATCACTACCCGACCTCACTAATGCTCAGTCAAATCCTCACAGCAATGTTCCAACATCTGGTGTAAAGCCTTCCCAGAAGAGTAGAGGCTGTTACTGCAGCACAAACTCATTATTAATGCCCTTGATTTCAGGAGAAACACTGGAGGAGCAGGTGAACACAAAATGTTGGACATAAACCGATCACCCACTTCATTAAGTCTACCTCCTTGTTTCTACATTCATTGTCCACTTTATCAGCTCTACTGACCATATAGTCTCACTCTGTAGTTCTACAGTTACAGACTGTAGTCCATCTGTTTCTCTGATACTTTGTTACCCTGTTCTTCAGTGGTCAGGACCCCCATGGACCCCCACAGAGCAGGTATTATTTGAGTGGAGGGTCATTCTCAGCACTGCAGTGACACTGATGTGGTGGTGTGTTAGTGTGTGTTGTACTGGTGCGAGTGGATCAGACACAGCAGATACAGTAGTGAGATTCTCTTCTAACCATCTGATCCAGTGTGTCTGTATCTGTGTGAGAGAGAGAGGGTGTTGAATGTTTCAGTCGGCCTGTCGTTCCTCCACTCTTTTTCACAGCAGTGAGTGTGAGTGATAACCTAATAACTGTACTCTCTCACTCTCACACTGCCCCCTACAGGACCACAACAGAACTGCACCTAATATCTTTAAACAGATAGATAGATAGATAGATAGATAGATAGAAAGATAGATGTTTATTGCACTGAGGGTGAACTTTGCTCTAACGCTCATCTGTCTGTGTTTCAGTATATGACAGCTGCAGCTGCCTCTGTGGCTCCTATGCAAGGAACATACATCCCCCCGTTCACTCCTGTACCTCCGTCTGCTCTGTCTGTAGAGGTAACACACACACACACACACACACACACACACTGCTCGCTCAGTTTAGTCACACAAAACACACACCATTCGGAATTTAAGCGCGAGTTCAACACAAAAGCAAATTTATCCAGTTTTTATCCAGTTTCCCCCTCATTACCCTAAATGTAGCAGATCAGCCAAGACATGATTTGCCCCTTGCAACAAATTTTCACAATCTGAAGCAATTTTTCAGGTCGGAAACTCGACTGGAAGTGACTGACGGTGTGGATGATCTGTAGTGTGAGAGGAGAAACGAGTGAATCTTTAGATCTCCAGTCGAACTCTGAAGTGATCAGAGACTCTCCGATATTATCAGACATGTTTGACATTTACGTCTCAAAATGTTCACGAGTCCAGCAGTGTGAGAAGGTCAGAGATTTACTCAACGAGTGATTCAAACAGCCAATCAGAGAGCTGGAAGAAAGGAGAAACAGGCATGAACAGCGGAGCTTGGAGACAGAGGAGATGCAGGTAAAACACAGGCAGATAAGAGCCGATATCATGATTATAATGTTGATCCAGATCAGCTTATATTAATTCCCAGTTTACACTTTCACTGCGCATAAAAGCAGAAACAGGTCCAGTAGGTTCAGCTCTGTCTGTGTCGTGTGATCTGAGGGAGTTATTTGTAGCCCAAACTCGTTATGTGTTATTCTCCCTCTTTACCTTGTTGTCTAGTCTGAGCGCCTCACGACAAAAAGACAAGACAAACTGACGTTAAGTTTGTGATGCTCTCAGTTTTAGAAATCTTAAAGGTTGTGTAGTGAACGCCCAGCCTTAGAACCATTAGCCTACATTAATGCAGCTTTTCTGTTTGCCTTTTTCAAAAACATCCTGTTGGAACACACTTGCAAGTTACACACTTAAAAAAAAAAAGATGGTTCTTTAAGGATTATTCAGACTGATGGAGAATGTGTTCTATATGGTTCTGTATAGAACCTTTTTGAAAATGGCTCTACGTAGCACCAAAAGGAATTCTTCTATTGTTACAAGCTTGACATCTTAACAATAGCAGAACCATTTTCAAAAAGGTTCTATACAAAACCATCTACAGCACATTCTCCATCAGTCTGAAGAACCTTCTCACCATGCAAAGAACCATTTAAGCATGAACTTTGAACTCATGGTTCAAAATTGAACCATTGGCTTTACAGAAGAGCGCTTGAAAAAACATCTTTTTTAAGTTTATATTTATATGACTTTAAAAAGACGTTTTCCATAAGTGGTCAGTTATAGTATTCCTACACTCTCAGAAATAAAGGTAGTAAACTGTCACTGGGGCAGTTCCCCTTTTGTCACTTGGGTGGTTCCCTCAAGGGTACATCTCAGTACCTTTAATCAGGGAGCATAGCTATACTGTTCTACGCTATAGACTGGGGTTCAGTCCCCCACCTGGGTAAACACCCTACACTATACCAATAAGAGTCCTTGGGCAAGACTCCTAACACTACCCTTCGCCTACCTGTGTAAAATGATCAAACTGTAAGTCGCTCTGGATAAGAGCGTCTCCCAAATGCTGTAAATGTAAACTGACTCCACACACCCCGTCTCGTCTCCAGGCTTTTATTTTACTGTTCTGTTTAAAACATTCGGTTATGAAAAGGTACAAATACGAACTTTTCACCTGGAAAAACTTATTTAAGGTTCACAATCAGACCTTAAAACCACTGTTGTACTTTGAGGGAACATTTACACTGTTTGTACCTTGATGAACAAAAAATGTACCTGAACAGAACCTTCATTTCTAAGTAATTTTCTGGGTGAATTTACAGATGACATGCTTTAACAGGTAATCAGTAATCTGTACTGGAACACATTTTTAAGCAATCCCTGTATACGATGTACCGTCTTCTATAAACATGGACAAAAGAAAAGATAGAAATTCAGACTTCTGGATGGTGACTATTAATGTTTTCAGCTATGCAACATACTTTATAGATAACAGTGAATCATACAGTGTCAGAAACCACATAATCAGGTCTATTGACCAAATGACCAACGCCACACAGTCTAAGATGAGTATGTGTTTACTAAACACATACTGGGTAAATGGGGACTGGATGAATGAATGAATGAACGAATGAATTCTGTGCTGTGTTTAGGGTGTGGTGACGGATGCATCGTCTCAGACAGTCGCCCCATCACAGGATATCAACACACCTCAGCAACAGATCACCGTGGAGACCAGTGACCACATCCCATCATACTCCTACCAGTCTAAGTACACGCTAAACTGTATTTTACTCAGATACTCAGCAGTACTATAGTTGTCTTTTGCTATGATTCTACCAATAAAAGTATATGACAGAGACATTGTTCTATTTAAATGTCCGAATTCTACCAACTGAAGTATGTATGAGCCTCTTTTAGCACCTTTATTTCAACTTCAACTCGCTAATCATTTTATAAAATCCAATTCTTTTTCTCATATATTATGGAAATAGAGACACTTCATGTATCACCGTCAAAACATTCAGTACAAGTCTTATATGATCTCTGCCTTTATGACAGGCTGGTTTAATTATTCATCAGTTTAAATTTAATCAGTCAGGTCACTGATGCCTGACCCGTCCTGTCAAACACACGGCCCCGTGTGCCAAAATTAAGCCAACAGAACAGAATTAGCAGCTACTCTCTTAAAATAAAGGTGCCAAAAGCCATAGAAAAACCACTTCTCTCTGCCTAAAAACCTTTCAGTGGAGAATCTTTTAAAGAGCCAGGTTTGTAAATGAAAGTGTGAGTGTAAAGAATCTTCCTGAAGTTTTAAAGTAGTGTAAAGACTGTAATGGATTAACTCTATTGCGTTGTGGGGGAAACCAAAACCCTCACGGTTTCTTGCCTTATAGATCCGCACAACTTTGAAGTCACCAAAGTGTGGACTTTGAGGAGGATTGCAGGGATCAGGGCACCATTTGGGACTGGGATAATGATGTCTGCCGCCTTTGGTCTCCCAGCAACACACCTTTGAGACTGCCAGGTTTTAAAAGACAGAAAAATCCAGGCGAAACAGGTCACTGCTGTCGTTCAAACGTTGGTAAATCAAGGGGGATATGTAATTAGCCACACTCGCAATACATCCACCTATTTTCTATGCGATCAAATGCATAGAATAAGCATGTTTTGCTGATGACCTCAGAGGCTTTTGTACATAATACATGGGCAGAATGCATCAGATTTGCGCCTGACACTTCATGCATTGTACATTGGGCCCTCGACGTGCAGGAGCTGAGCCTCGCTGTAGTCCAGGAGTGTCAAACTCAACCAGTAAAAGTAACCTGAACTGGCCATTGTCTATTCAAAATATGCAAAGATTACATTACAAAAAAATATGAATACTTGAAATATTCAAAATTTAAATGTCCTTGGGAACCTATTTGCTTGAACTAGACCCCTGTCATGCTTTCTTTGCAGCAAGTTCATTTACACTTGGGTTCAGTTTCTGAGCTGCTGAGCTGATGTTGGGTGTTTATATTGGCTGAACTGCTGATGAAATACATTTTAGTGATATGACTGGTGTGGAGTTGCACAGAATTGTGTAGAACATTACGTTGCAGTGCATGCTGGGGACTGTAGTGCAGCACATTGTGAAACAGGCTAATATTGATAGTAAATTAAAATACTTTAGTGGGCCGGATCGATTGCGTGGTGGGCCTGATCTGGCCCACAGGCCTTGTGTTTGACACATGGGCTGTAGTCATTTGGAGGTGCGTTTTGGGGGGGCCGCCATCATGACGTGGGAATCTCAAAATGTCGTAGAAGTTCTGAAGTGGTATGTTGGAGGTAAGTGGATTAAAACGAGTTCCCACTAGCAGTCACACCCAGTGGGTCTCGTTGTTTGAGTGCTGCTGATAAGAACAGCCAATTTCTGCTTACTGAACTCCAGCAGTGCATCAGTTTTAAGGTTCATCTCTAGCATTTATGTTCAGTAGCTGTCAGTGTCTCTTTTGGCCTCTCAGTCAGTCTGTCTGTTAAGAGGATGTGTTCCACCTAACACCCTCCCCATCTGTTGTCTGTTTCTCGAGCGTAATCCCAGGTGATTACATTTCAAAGCGGAGCGCGATGGTGTATCTGAAGTGTTTTCATTAGTGACTGAATGATGATGCCGCAAATGAAAATTCCAAAAAAATGAAAGTATTTTTAGTTTTGTTGATGTTGAGCTTGTGTGCAGGCTGATCACATGCTGATCACGATACGACGTAAAAGACACAATAGTTTTTTATTAGTTATTGGTGCTGGTTTACCCCTGAAATGCTGTTAAACTCTCTTTCTCCCATCGGGAGGCCTGACCTGGGGCAAAAATGGGAATTTCAGAAAAGATTTCATAAAAAAATAAAATAAATAAAAAATAAAAAAACAACAAATGGAGAAGTTTGTCCTGGAAACCTCCTGCTAGCCTGTGGAAAAGTAACCGTGTCCAGATATAATCTGAAAGGACAAGTGAACACACTTCCACACATACTAATAATAGTTTAATCTTTTGGGATCCTTTATCATTATTAACAGCCAGAACTCCACATGGGCCTGATTTCACTGTGTCAGTAATAGAAGATCTGAAACCTGAACGATTCATTAAAGATACAGAAATACAGACGTGTAACAGACAATGGCCACAAAGCAGGTCAGCAGAACACTGCAGAGAAAGATGCACTGGATGTCCAAAAGTTTGTAGACACCTGCTCTTCTGAAATCAGAAGAAATTTAATAGAGCATTAATGAGGTCAGGTACTGATGTTGGATGGTCAGTTCAGGATCACACCAATACCCAAAGGTATTGGACGGAGCTTCATCACTCCAAAGAATGCAGCTCCACTGCTCCACAGCCCAATGCTGGGGGGCTTTATACCCCTCTAAACTGATGCTTGGCATTGAGCATAGTGACCTCAGGTTCATGTGGTCAGTGCTTTTTCTATGAAGACTATACAAGCTGTGTGAATCCCTGTGTTAGCAGTGGGTGCACATTAAAGTGGTTGAATTCACTCATTAGAAGGGGTGTCTGGATATTTTTTGGACATGGTTCATATTGGCAAGTGAAAACATCTAAAATCTAGTCATAATATCTAATTTCTCTCATTATGAGATTCTTGTAAGATTATTATAAGACAATTCTTATTTCTAGATGTTACTTGTTTTAAACAATGTTATCTGGACAAATTGTTTTATTGTATAAACAGATCATTTTGCCGGTTTCAAGAAATGATGCTTGGAAAAAGGTGACAGTTTCACTAGATAAAATGACTTAAAACAAGTTTAAAAATAACAGAAATAACAAATAATTTTACAGCACTTTATCTCAAAATGAGAAAAATATATTGACTAGATTGAAGGTTGTTTCACTCACCACTTATCATTTTCTGCAGTGCAGACAACCGTCTTCCCGAAGAACTTATGTTTGCAGGACTTTGTTCCAAATTGACCTGGTTGTATTTTCTGTATTGTATTTACTGTATTTTCTATGTTAAGCAGTATGTTTTTTTGGAATGGACAAAAAAGCTCTCAAACATTGGCTTAAGCGCTTTCAATACTCACAGTACTTGTGCGATACATCAGTTTTGCCTCATGTTTTACAGTATATAGTACAGTGCAGGGTAATTTATTATGATACAATACATTACAGTCAATCAAGTTTTGCTTGTTACCATATACCCACAAAAATGACCATATACCCATAAAATGTGTATTTTTATGACCAAATTGCAGTAATTTAATAAACCCATGATACATTCATTTAATCATTCGTCACTCATCCCTGTGGATCAATACATCCCTGTATTCCTACACCCCTATTGCATTATTCCACTGGACTTGAACAAAAGCCAGCAAACACTGTAGCTCTTCAGGCGCCAGGTTGCAGAGGCCTGCAGATGCCCAGTAGTCCACTTCAGAAGACCAGTCATTCATCCTTGTGTAACAGAGGAGCCAACAAAGGAAAAGGTTATAAAAATCCCCCCAAAAGTGGAAAAAAAAGAACAAAAATTCACCAACGTATGAAATATTTCATTCAACATATCTTTATGAAACAAAAACAAATACTGTATCCTGTTTGGCCTTGTCCCAGGGAGGAGCTATGATGTTCAATATGAGTGGGCTGACAAATCAATAGTCCTTTCTCTTGTGGTGCTCCCACAATGTATACAGACCGCTCCACACATGGGTAGGCCTGGACTGAGCTCAGCCGAATGAGCCCAGAATAATTGCTCTGTGATATTGAGGAGTGGCCAGAGTATTATCCCAGAGGTAGGTCCAAGATTACGCAATCCTCGATCCCTGCTTTCATAACGCTCCCTTAAAACCTGCAAAGTCCAATTACATTCTTACCCAGGTGATCCAGCCAATGGCAGCACTCGCACTTGCATTGTGAAAGAAAAATGGACATCACAAAAACGAAACGGAACAGCTGGACGCTTCTGTCCCAGCAGCCCGTCGTTTCTTTCGCTACTCGGAGGGGGAGGTTGCACGTTAGGCACCGTCTTCTCAGGCCCAGCAGGTCTGAGGAAGTCTAGACGTTGGTCTCCAGGCCGTTCATGTCGATGGTGCAGTGGTCCTGGTCCTTGTTGTCCCTCTTATGGTGACGCGGCGACAAGTGCGAGGATTTCTTCTTATCGGCAGGCCTGATGCCTTCCTCCAGCTGCATGAGGCGGGCCACGTCCGGAGAGAGCGGTTCCTGCTTTCGGGGGCCCGGTGGAGGAGGCTGGAAGCAGCCGTTTTTCTGGTAGGACATCATCTGCTGGATACTGATCATGGGCTTTGTTTCACAAATGAGAGGGATCTATGTGTAAGAACGTCAGGAGAGGACACGTACGTTTAATTTCCAGAACTGAAATGCTAGCAAAAGAAATTTGATCTAAATCAGTGGTTGCCAGTTTGGGTCCTGGAGAACCCATGCTCTGCGTATTCTTGAGTCCAGGATGAGGATTGGGAACCACTGAGTTACATCAGCACTTCATACACTACTTGGCCAAAAGTATGTAAACACCACTTCTAATTAGTGAGTTAGCTTTTTGCTAACAGGTGCATAAAATCAAGCAAACAGCCGTGCAGTCTCGATAGACAAGTACAGGCAATAAAATGGGTCGGACTGGGAAACTAAATCTCCTTTCATGTAAGTCAGTTTGTCCAATGTGAGCACAGCTAGAGCTGCCTTGGTAAGTACTGCCTTACTAGAGCTGCCCTAACTGTCAGCGTTGTTATTGTGAAATGGAAGTGTCTGGGGAGAACAGCTCAGCTGCAAAGCTAACAGAAAGGGTTTGCCAGGTGCGTAGAAATCATCAGTCCTTGGTTGCTACACTTACTACAGAGTTCCAGACCACCGAGCTCTGGAGCAGTGGACATGTTCTCAAAGTGATGGATCATGCATCACCATCTGGTGATCTTACAGAGTTCGGTGAATGACAGAAGAACGAAACCTGCCTTGATCCAAAACCTACACAAAACTTTCCCAGAAGAGTAGCGTAACTCCATATTGATGCCTGTGGTTTTGGGATGAGATGTTTGGCATGCACATATGGATGTGGTGTCCATGTACTTTTGGCCATGCAGCGTACTAAAGTGACAGCATTTTTCCTCACAATGTTCACATGGATCTTACCTCTTCACCCTCCTTGATAAAGTCTTTCCTACATATGTGTGCCATAATCCCTGTGGCCAGAGCGTCACCCATCACGTTCACCATGGTCCTGAACCGGTCTCTGAAACGAAGACAGATGCATCGTTTGGTGAATGTCTTGGATCAAATGTCCTGTGTGGTCTGCAGAAACAATTTCCAGTACTTACAGGGCCCAGTCCACGGCAATAATGAGCGTGATGTCATCTGTGGGTAGGCCCACAGAGGTCAATACAATCACCATGGTTACCAAACCGGCTTGAGGAATTCCTGCAGCGCCGATACTGGCCGCCGTGGCTGTGATGCTGGGAGAGAGAATCACAGATATTATTGCTTGTGATGGAGTTGAAATCTCCAGCTCTGTTGACCTCTCACAATTCATAACTTGCTGAGCTGCCCAGCAGGTCATTCCTGTTTGTGCTTTGAGGCCATGAAGATGAAGTTCAAGTACTCAGAATACACTGCACACCAAGGCACTCTCACATACACCATCAAGTGCAGCCTGGTGAAGCTACATGTGGGTACCTTTCACTCTTCTGCCCAAGGCTTTTTAATGTTTTTACTTGGTTTTGCACTGGAAAAAAAAGCAATTTCAACCTTTAATTGTTGTGCCTTGGTGTGGCATGAACTTTGAACACTGGGATATCCAACCAAAGACCGGTGTACTGTTAACATGAGTCAACATGAAACTTAAACACAATGCCAATGCAACATAAGGCTGACATATTCATACATATGAGTCAATGAGAAACAAGGTTTAAAAAGGACATGATATGCATTTTTGTATCTAGATTAAGTGACCCTTATTAGTCCCACAATGGGGAAACTTCACTTCTGCATCTAACCCATCTGTGCAGTGAAACACCACTAGGGGGCAGTGAGCACACTTGCCCAGAGCAGTGGGCAGCCCTATCCACGGCACCCGGGGAGCAGTTGGGAGTTAGTTGTCTTGCTCAAAGGCACTTCAGTCACATAGTGTCAGCTCACGGGATTGAACCGGTGACCTTCCGGTCACAGGGCTGGTTCCCTAACCTCCAGCCCATGACTGCCCTCACAATGTGCCTTTATGTACATTTTATATCTTAAATATAGTGAGTGTGATCAAAGCTTTTAATTGCCTGTTTCAGTCATTAATACTATGCTGGTCTGGTTGCACCATTTGACTTTGACTGGTTATGCCACCTGACTTTTCAGACTAATTTCAAATTAAACAGGAATCTGTTTAGACACCATAGAAACCTTTGTTTTTGAACTTGAGTTTAAACCTACATTGTTTTTCAAACAAATAATCATTATTACAATAATTACACATTTACCTGGTTCTCCTGAGGTCAGACCTCCTGACATGGTAAACTGAACCATTCTAACCATGACTCAAGCATCACATTTTGACTAAATTTGTGAAAGGGCTGCTGACCTTGGTATTGCACCATGAAGGTCACTTGGGGTCTTTGATGCAGTACCATGGCCCCTCTTTTGTAAAAGCACATAAAATAAAAATAAAAGTCTCTTGTTTTTAGTTGTGTCGTCTGACATTGAGGGAATAAGAACTTGCGGACAAAAGTTTTTCAGTGAGTTGAGCACTTTTGAAGTTGCCTTATTTTGCAACATGTTTTCAAAGATTAAATCATGCCAAGTTGTTTTATTTAGAAATTTACCTGACGAAATTATCTTTTTTGAGAATGGTCCACCAACAGCGTCCTGTGGGCAGCGTCCTGTGACCACTGATGAAGGACTAGAGGATGAGCAACACAAACTGTGCAGCAGCAGATGAGCTATCGTCTCTGACTTTACATGTATAATGACTTTACATGGTGGACGAACAAGGTAGGAGTGTTTAACAGAGTGGACAGTGAGTGGACACAGGGTTTAAAAACTCCAGCAGCGCTGCTGTGTCTGATCCACTCGTACCAGCGCAACACACAGTAACCCACCACCACCACGTCAGTGTTACTGCATTGCTGAGAATGATCCACCACCCAAATAGTACCTGTTCTGAGATGGTCCTGTGGGGGTCCTGACCATTAATGAAGGGGGTAAAGGTGGGGTTACAAATTAAGCAGAGAATCTGATGGCCTACAGTCTGTTACAGTAAAACTTTTCACATCAAACCACTTTTATATCTATGATTGAATTATGCAAAACATTTGAATATTCCTCTTTTAATACAAATGTGTTTTCTGTAAACAGACACAACAGAGGAAGGTGAGGATTAAAGTGGTGTGAGAGAATGAAAGAGTAACACAGGATCTGATATAGATTTTGCGCTGCAATTACAGGCTCTGTAAGCCCACAGTCAGTCCTGCACTGTATTCCTGTCACCACAACAAAGCAAAGCCATTTAAGCGACCACTGAGGAATTAATTCAGTTCACAAAGTTCCTTAAGGTTTTAGCCATTTCCCCAAAGTCGATATGTAAGCAGCCATTCTTCAGTCTCGCAAATCTAAATCACCTTGCACTTCGATTGGCCGCGTTAGAAGCCGAATTCAGACGGCAGACGTACCTGATGGTGATGATCTGGCCAAAGTCCAGCTCGTAGTTGTTGACCTGAGCGATGAAGATGGCCGCCACGGCCTCGTAGAGCGCCGTGCCGTCCATGTTTATGGTGGCACCCACAGGCAGCACGAAGCGGATGATGCGTCGGTCGATATGGTTGTTCTCCAGGAGGCACTTGAAGGTGATAGGCAGTGTGGCAGAGCTGCAGCAGAGCATATGCATACAGGCAGTTCAGAGACGGCCACTTCATCTAGAGGACCATTAAATGAGCTCCACTACATGCTGTAATTTAGTGTAATGCGCTTATTTCGTTCTCTCTCTTTGCTCTTATACCTCCATTACAGTGTTCCTACATATACTTCCTGCTGTTTGCGTGAGGTTTTCTTTGTTTCTTTCATTTTACTTCTGCGCCTGTGTGTAATGGGCCCAACTCATACACTGTTCTTGTATTTTTTCCAGGTCCATTTGCAGCCATGTTTCGTATGTGAATGACCACTTAGCAACCTCTCCTTGTCCTTTAGGCTATTTTTATCACTGTGCTTTTAAGACCCCTGTGTAAATAATGTCTCTTCTGATTGGCCGTCCTATATTGTGTCTTGTTCAACAAAGCAGTTTGGGCTGAAACACTCATAATTTCAGAGTGCATGGGCGGGGCTAAACTGCCGCTTATCCTTCTGGGTTGTGGGGGGAGCTGGAGCCTGTCCCAGCAGTCACTGGGCAGAAGGCAGGATGCTAAGTAAGCAGATATATGTAAGTGTATCTGTTGGTAACATAACAAACCCAGGGAATTTTAGTCTTTGCCAACTTCACCCGCTCTATCTGATTATAAGATGCTACCGACCTAGGAGGGTGAAGGCTGGCACACGCTTCCTCCGAAATATTTCTTTTCAAGCTGACGCAAAAACAACATCACTGGCTAGCTCAACGTGCTTAGACAAGTACTCCAACTGCCCATTCTGTTACTTTAGCTAACAGACGCTCACATTGGCTAGAATTGCACTGAGTGATTAGTCCAGGGGTCGCAACCCAATTGTTAAGAAGAGCCATTTTGGCTGTAAATATGTCTCAGTATGTGCTGATGTGCTAATATAGGATAAAAATATAATATGAACAAAAATGCAGACTCTGCTTTTCTCGCATCTCCAGCAGGAAACTTTTCCTCAAAAGTAGAATAGTTTCTTGTAAAATGTCTCTAAACGTTTGATTTTTCACGAGGCTGATTTCAGCTTCTCATTCTCCAGCTTCTTGTTCAAATTTTCTCGCCAGAATGTAACTGCTGCACCTTTTAAGGTGGAACAGGAAAATTAGGACAAGAAGCTGGCGAATGAGAAACTTCAGCTTCATGACTTTTTAGTTTGACAGTTTATCACTGCAGATTAAACGTATCAGGAAACCAGCTGGAGTGATTATAAACGCAAATAAGTCCATTCGTCTCCAGATTATCGATGTTCGTCTTAAATCTCTCTCTTTGCCGTTTCGCTACTACCTGGGCAAGATTGTTGTTTGTGTTGCTATGACGACCAGCAGTCTGCGCACCAGTCTTCAGGGTTAAAGGGTGAATTAGCAGTTCTACATTAACTCCAGAGTTTAAGACCATTTATTGTTAAACTGTGTTGAACGATCAGCAGAGCTTTATTTTACTGTAAAGGAGGATTATTTTATTTTTACCTACAAATCTGATTCTGCTGTGGAGCCACAACAGGGCAGTAAAAGATGCAATGCGGCTCTGGAGCCACATATTGCCAACCCCTGGATTAGGGGGAGATGAAGAACCATCCTACCCACCCATAAAGAGCAAGAGGACAACAAAGCAGTTTTTGTAGTGTCGTTTCCATGTACAGACTGTTTGGGACGAGGAGTGAAAGATACTTCTTAAAACTGGTTTGTTATGGATTATTATGCGTGTTCTCACCTGGATGAAGTGGCTAGTGAGATGAGCAGAGCCTGCAGGATGCCTCGGATGTAGACTATGGGGCTTTTCTTGGTGATGAAGAAGTACATGGAAGGCAGGATGAAGAGGCCGTGGAGAATCAGTCCCATGACGACAGTGATGGCATAGAAGCCCAACTTCTTCCCCATGGCTGAGGGGTCGTCCATCTCCAAGATCTTCCCAGCCACCAGGAAAACAATCCCAAATGGGAAATACCTGTGAATCAGATCAAAAAGATATCAGCCCCTACAGCCATTTTTCTGGAACTAGACTGTCAACATCACACAGAGTAGCTGTTCTATATATTTTTGGGCTCTCAAGTCCAGACAGGCAGCTAGTCTGTCCCTGTAATTGCTATTCCAGAATAAAATAATCTTTGTTTTATCTTTATTCTCCTTCTGGAAATTTTGTCCCATCCAGTTAGTTAGTGATTAAGGCACTCAAGTGAGTCAAAGGGACCATAATTGTTGGGATTTGGCTAAGAGGGTGCATGTATAAATTAAATAAGAGCGGCCCAAGAATTGAGCCCTGGGGCACACCACAGGTCACTGGAACTCTCTCAGAAACATTATTTTCTATTTTGAAGTAGTTCCTTCCTGCAGACATGAACTTGAATCATTTTAGGACAGTCTCTGGGAGTCCAAACCAGTTTTTAAGGCTATCTATGAGAATTTTATGGAGTAAAGGTGAAAAGCATGGAGATCTTAATCAGGAGAGCCGGTTCTTACCAGATAACAATGGCTACAATTTTCAGCACAGCTTCATTCAGACTCTGACAGAAGTTGACCAGGGCACTACCATTGGGTCCCATTCTTCCCAGCATGATGCCTACAATACAGAACACACGGCATGAGGATGTGTTAAAAAGGTGGGAACTTCAGGTGTTGAATGCATTTAAAGGAAGCAATAAAATGAGGACTCCAAAAAAAAAATGTTCAGTACTCTTTTATGTAAATGTATTTTTTCAGAGCGTTCAGTAGGGGTTGTTTGAAGGACACTGTGATTAGAAGCTTGAATGACCCTGATTCAGTGCTTTTTGTTACATGTTTCATATCTGAATGTCAGAAATGCGAACAGATTCTCAGAAAATATGTTCTCTGACGGATTTATGGTGGCTAAATGCTAATGCCCAGTCATGTTTCACCTTAGAGTGAGTTGTGACAGACATCCAGCTGCCTGAAGTAGATGATGATACATTGCACAAGCAAAGCAATTTGTCTCATGTAAAATTGCTTCAGTTCTAAGTGACTCTGGTCTCTGGACTACTGTGAAAAAGAAATGAGTCAGCACAGTATTTCAGCACGATCCACGGAACTGATGAGTGAGTCAGTGAGAACAAATAGAAACAATCTCTGGAACAGAATATCCCCAAGGGGAGAAGTCTGGCTTTAGGCTGGGAGATGCGAACCGCAACTGCCTTTTAACAGCAGAAAACCTCACAGAAGTTGGTAGGTGCATTCACTCACCCATTGTAGCTGAGAAGATGACGATACCCAGGACGTTCATGCCGTCGCTGGTGCCCGGGAGTGTCCTGAATACCACGTCTGGAGGTGGCGTCAGGTCCAGAGAAAAGTTCTGGATGTCGGTTCCGTTGTCATCCTGGATGCCATAGATGAAAACCCGCCTGGTGGTGGTCTCCATCAGGTCCTGGCTGACTGTAGGCCTGGGCTTCAAGATGGGGATGCTCTTGGTGCGATACTACCAAAAGGATAGGATAAATAATGGCATAAATAACGCAGCTTAACATGATATTAACAGTGAATTTGTCAGTTCTTCTTTAAAAATGAAACAGCCGCCTGAGTTTCTGTATTTCTAAGAATTATGGGGAACAACTAGATTTTTATTTATAAAATCTAGAAACCAATTTCTTTTAATGAATTCACTGGTGTATACAGACAACTGGGGGCTCAGAATTTTCGTGGTATCCTACCATTCCCATGTTCATGCTTCAGCTGTTTGAGACTCACAGTAAGCTAGCACGTTTGGCTGCTGTGTGCATATAAAAAGCTCTTTAAAGGGGTTAGCATGTGAAGTAAACAGCTGTTTGGGTGGTACTGCATTTATTTTAAAAGTGTATGTATGCTATGTCAGTTCACTATTTATACAGTGCTGGAAAATGTGCAGTTCTGTGGATTTTGATCAGAATTTTTGCACATAATGACTTAAACTAACAATTACCCAAGAATCCCCTGTGTGTTTTTGACATCATGCACAAATAGTGTATGACAAACAAACAAGGTTCCATGGGTGCCTTCGTGATTAAATAAAATCACGGATTAACAACTTGGAACAGTCTGATCTCTTGAGAATCTCCTGCTTGCCTTGGAAGTTTGAAACTTCCCAGTTCCCAACTGATCATGTATGCAGCATAAATAATGTCATTTTCATGCTAGGAATTTTTGGTGCCAGTCATGTTGTGTGGGAATGATTTAGTTTGCCAGACAAATGAGTAAAATTCATATCAGGGCTGAGCGATTAATCAAATTTTATTTTCAATTAAAATTTTGGCTTCCAACGATTCTGAAAACGAGAATCCATTCCGTTTCATTTTGCCTTGTGTTATAAATCCAGCGCACCCCTTTCCTTCACAGCAGTACATTTTCACCCCTCCCTAAAAGCCTAAACTCTTCCAGTTTATTTTTATTTATTATTTTTATATCTGTTTAGTTAGGGAAGTGTTTTGGAAGTGCAAACTTATTTTATCGTATTATTATTTTTTATTATATTTATTTTTTATTTGTAATTTTTATATCATTTATTTAAATGCATATATTTGTATATTTTTCATTTATTTATTTTATTTATTTATCTTTTTTACATAGTTTTTAATTTGTTTTTCAGTTGAATTATATTAGAAGTTCTAGGAAATCCATTTTAAAGACAAATTTCTTGGCAGTTTAAGAAGGTTCAACCTTCACTGATCTTTCGCTTCTTTGATGAGGAGAATTCACCCTCTCGCTTTTTCTTGTGCTAAATAATAAATATGATCCACCATTTGTCAAATTTTTGGTTCTCACAACACAAAATGTTTAGCCAGCACCGGCAGCAACCACTGATTCTTCCAACTGGAGCTACAGCGCCACCAAACTCGAGCTGCTTCAATGGAAAAACGCGAAAGGCACCTCTAGAGCAGTGTTTGGTTTGTCTGTTCTGTGCGACTGTAGAAACAGTAAACAGTTACCAGCTAACATAAGCCATAGTTAGCATTCAGAATAAGCAGGAAAAATGTGATTAAATTAATTACATCATATAATAATCTAACCTATGATCCCCTGATCCCCTGCGTTTTCACACAATAGGCTTTTCTTTAGTTCAGCTTTCTGATTTCAGCAGAATGTGAGCTTCATTGCGCTCTCAGTTGTTTTTCCACTTCTTTTCTGAACTTGCTTGCTGTCATGTGGGTTCATGCTGTTCAGAGAAGCTCAGTTCGGTGAACCCAGCGCCACACGTCCGCAAAAGAGAACAGGCACTTTCATACACCTTTTCTTCATGTTGGTTTCTCATTAGGCCTTTTTTAATGTAATTTTTTCAGCCACTTTACTGCAATCTGGACGTCCTCTTCCAGATAATAAGGGTTTACACCCTGTAGTGTGGCCTTCTGAATGGTTCCTAGTTCCTGCACTCTGAACAAATTTCTTCAGTTCCTCTTAGGCTTTTATTCACTGGTCTGGTGCTTTTTATGCTTGACTATAGTTATTTTTCTCAGCAGGCCTCATAGCTGTGTTCTTGTACTCTTGTGATTTCTGTGTCCGTACAGAATTGGATATTTTTACCATCTACTTTGTTGTTTTTTTTTCTGAAGGTCACTGGAGTCTTCAGGTAGATTAATACAATGACGTCAAACGCAGACATCAAAGGCAAAAAATTTAGCTACGTTTGCAGCCTGATAATCCATTAATAATCCAACTAACAGCTCAATCTGAATAGACTAGTCTGATTGAGGCCATTTGGAATACAGTGTCTATCCGATTGATCGAGGTGGGTAATCCTGTAAATAATCCGTTAAATAGAAGAATAATATCCGTGTAAACGCCTGTATCTGATTACTTTCCCTATCAGAAAGTTTAAGTCCGTTCTGATCATGTTCGTCACGTCATAGTGAAAGTTTATACCGTTCAGCATGGCGGAGCAGAAACTGGTCTGCAGAGGAGACGAAGTTTATGCTCTGATCTTTAAAAGACGGCGGTGGGACGGACGTCCAGCTTATGTGTCTCAGAACACGACGTCTTCCTCTCGGCCTTCTTTAATAAGGACATGTGAAGGACGTTTTCCTGAGTCTAACATCATTTTAAAGTAATTAAAAAATTAACAACTTGTGCTTCATGGCTGTTTTGACTAGAAATTAAATGAATAACGGATGGTCTCTGACTTTTTCACAGAGCTGCACATTTTAAGCTGTAATGCTTTGACTAACTCAATAAATATAGTATCTATAATAATAAATAGCATAATAATAATAATAGTATCTGGAAATGGAACTCACCTGCTGGAAAGTAGCTTGCACTAAGTTGGCAGGGAACATGTTGCTGTTGAAAAAAAAAGAAGATATTATTTTTCAGTTCACATGTTTTCGTTCACTCTGAACAAGTTCATTAGTTAATTTGTGATTGTGTAGCTACCAGAAGCAAAATCAACAGGGATTCACGGGAAGTGTTTGAATGCATGTTCAAATCTAGTCGTCTCTATATCTTTACAAACGCTCCTTCTGAAGGAAGAGATATTCTTAAAACCATAGTTCAACCAGGAATCTGATTTATATAATTTTATTGACACAAATTGGTCCGTCTCACATGGATCACTGTTTCGTCTCAACACAAAAAAAAAATACTGACCTTATTTTGTCAGTATTTTTCAGAATCACCACCAAAAAGTAACTTCCATCAAGACTCTTTCAATAATATCCTGTACAAACGCCAAAAACCCTTTATCTCATCATGTTTGTTGACTGATTGCTGATAGTTTTCACATCTCAGCCCATGTTTGTCAAACCTCTGACAGTGTGAAAGCTGATCTGGGAACAGTTGGTGCCCTTTATGTACTGATTTTGATTATATGAGCCCTAAAATCACTGTTAGATTAGTGTTCTGACTCTGAAATTATTAATAAATATGGGCAATTATTAGCAACAAGAACATTCAGGAAACAAAACTAAAGGCTTTGTGGAGTTTTATAGGTCATTTAGCATGTGGGGTTGTACATTTACTTCCAGTAGATGCATAAAAACATTCAGATTTGGAACTTAATTCCCCATATGAAGCTGAAACTGTATCGTCATTTGTATATTTTTGTATAATTAACATTAATCATTTTTTAGAGTAATGGTACAGAGACTGTATAATTAACTGTCAGAGTAACAAAACTGAAGTTATGAATGTGCTATATTTGCAGAATCTCTCATAAAACTAAAAATCACCAAAATCTCTGTGGCCTCCTACATCCTGAAGCTACTTTCTCAACATGAATCTTGTTTATGGAACCTGGTAGAAAACATCCTGAATCTAGCAAGCCTTCACCTTGTACAGATTCAGACTGTAACTGACCCAATGTCGAGCCAGTTCTCCACAGATTTTTTTCTCCTGGGTTTGGAGCACATTCTGTGAGCTATAGGGGCAGCAAAAAACATCAGGGACTCGTAGCAACAGAATCAGATCTGGTTGTACTGTTTGTATTTTATTTGTGTGAAACTTTTTACAACCAAAACCTTCATCCAGAAATCCTATACGAGCCCCCAATGAGGATCAAGACAGAAAAAAATGGAGCATGAGGAAGAATCACTGAGAGGAACCAAGAGATGAGGAGAAACTCCCTAGTCTCAAAATGATGGGTCTTCAACGGTTCTTTAGTGAAGACAGTGGTTCTATATAGAACTACGAACACTTAAAGGACCATGGTTCTATGCATGGTGAAATGGTTCTTCAGATTGATGGAGAATGTATTGTATATTTTGAAAATGGTTCTATATAGCCCAAAAAGGGTTCTTCTACTGTTGTAAGCTTGGTGCTATATAGAACCATTTTCCATAGAACCACATAAACACATTCTCCATCAAGCCTTGAAGAAACATCTTTTTTCAAGAGTTTAATACAATGAAGAAGAACCACTGAGAGAAATCAAGACTAAAGGAGAAACTCCCTAAGAGCATGAGGTAGGACCAATGAGTGGAACCAAGACTTTAAAGGAGAAACTCCCTGAGAGCATGAGGTAGGACCACTGAGAGGAACCAAGACTCGAAAGGAGAGACTCCCTAAGAGTATAAGGAGGAACCACTGAGAGGAACCAAGACTCAACATGAAAAGCTTCCTACTGCATGGGGAAGAACCACTAAGAGGAACCAAGACTCAAGAGGAGAAGCTGCTAAAGAGCATGAGGAGGAACGACCGAGAAGAAACAAGACTCAAAAAAGGAACCCATCCTCCTCTGTAGGATGCTGAAAAGTGCAGTTAGGATACAAGTAGGACATAAAAGTAAGCCAGTTTACCTTACATGGAGGGGCTTGGATCAGCAATCACTGATCCAAAGGCTTTCAAAGATTTGATGGCACACTGACTGTGCCGGATATTAAAAATAAGAACTTGGTGGGAAAGATGTTCAATATGAGTGTAAGTTTATTACAAGAAATATATATCGTGTCACCATTGGTGCTTGGTGGTTTTGTGCAGGTACATTTTTCGTCCATCAAGATACAAACAATGTTAATGTTCCCTCAAAGGTTCACCAGTGGTATTAAGGTCCAATCGTGAAACCTTAGGTTTTTCCAGGTGAAAAGTACATAGTGGTACCTTTTAATAATAATGTTTTAAAACAGAACAATAAAATAAAAAGCCTGGAGACGAGACGGGGTGTGTGGAGTCAGTTCAACTTAGAAAATATCTCTGACTAAAGGTACTGAGATGTACCCTTGAGGGAACCACCCCAGTGACAAGAGGGGCGCAACCCCAGTAACAGTTTAGTACCTTTTTTCTGAGAGTGTACAAAAGTCAGGGCTGGATTGGGAACTAAATTTAGCCCTGAGCTTTTGTCTAGACCAGCCCCCTACAGTCATATTTGACACATGCCACTTGTCCCGGGTGGTCACTACTGAATTTATATGGGACTACATTAGAAACACTGTCACACTGTCCTGGTATTCCAGATGAAGCCCAACCGAACCTGTGGAGTCACCATGCCTGGATAGTTTAGCCATGCTGCTAACATTTTCCCCAACAGACTTCCAGTAATGGAAGGCGCAATGAAGCTAAACCCAGCGGTAAGTCGTTAGACATCACTTCCATGAGGGCCATATGGCTCAGGTCAGTAAGGAGCAGTAATTAGGTCCTGGCTCACACTCTGAGCACACGCTCCTGTGACACGGGGCAACGCTCCGCCGCATACACACATACACAGCGCTGCGACAGGTGGGACAGGACAAGTCTGTTCTTCTCCACCGCCACAAGGCAAAGCCACGTCTAAGCCTCCTCTTCTGATAGGGCCTTTCATGTAGCTGCCTCCGTGCCTTAAACTCTTAACCTTCTCTTCCCAGATGGAAGCTGCGTAATCCGCTCCGCGTTTCTGAAGCACAAACACAGAGCCCGAAGCTGCATAAGGTATCCTCACCTTGTGTGGCCTAATGCAAGTGTTTGCTTTGGTTGTGCATCATTTCATTTCATGAAATCCACCATTGTTTAGAGCGGTTTGATCAATAAGGGCTTCAGCGGCAGCAGGATTGTTTCCAAATCCCTCAAGACACACTCTTAGAATGCCTAATTAGATCTTCCTTGAGTCTTCATTTATTTCTTTCATCTCTTTCCATTTGATCTAAAAGGCTTAGAAGCAAGTAGGTGTTAAGGAAGTGAGTCTACTAGCATGTCCTACTGACCGACTGGAACAGTGACACAATGACACTGGGACTGTGCCACGTCAAGGACAAGCTGATCCCTTTGCTCTCTTCTTGCTGCAGCTAATTAGCTTAGCATGAGTGCAAGGCTTCATTAGAGCTCACAGTACTTACTCTACTCAGGAGTGACTCCATCTCCATCACATTTGGTACAGAAATGCACACTCAAGCAGTTGGGGGTTATGTGCCTTGCTCAAGGGTACATGACTAAAGTGCCCTTGAGCAAGGCACCAACTGCTCCCCAGGCGCCATGGATAGGGCTGCCCACCACTCCGGGCAAGTGTGCTCACTGCCCCCTAGTGTGTGGGTTCACTAATGTGCATGCATGTGAGTGTTTCACTGCATGGATGAGTTAAATGGTTCTAAATTCTTAGTTCTAATTTAAGAAGATCCACGTTTGGTGACGAGATCCACACTCAGCCCAATCCACACAAAACACTAACCCCATGAAATCTACATAAGATACTACCTTCAATAATTGCAAATTAAATGCTGTCAACAAATTCAACTAGAAACATGCATTTCCTGAAGGAAACGGAGCTTCAAAGGTTCCCACTTCCTGCTAGGTTGTTGCTAGGTGGTTACTATGGTATCCCAGGTGGTTGCTAAGGTTTTGCTAGTAGTTGCAATGGTGTATGGGGTGTGTATTTAGTTGTTCGTCAGGAGTTGCCAAATGTTAGTTACGTGTTGTTGTAAATAAATGGGAGTCTATGTGAGGAACGAGGGATGAAAAAACGAAACATAGAGGAGTGCAGGTCAGTGTGGCTGTGGATTAGAGCTTGGGGCTCTGCCCTGCGTGAGTACATGTACCTTGGTATCTGTTGGGCAAAGAAAAAACAGGGCTTGTGTTTGGGTGAATATGAAAGGGACTATATGGGAGGAATAATGGATGAAAAAACAACACACAGAGGAGCGCGGATCGGTATGGCTGTGCAGAGTTTGTGGTCCGACCCTGAGTGAGTACATGTAGTTTGGTGGCTGTAGGGCAACAAAGTAGTAGAGTTTGTGTGGTGGTGAAAATGAATGGGACTCTATGTGAGAATCAAGGGATGGGAAAAAACAAACAGATGAGTGCGGCCTGCCCCGAGGTAGTATATGCGAAACAGTGTCTTTCAGTTGAGCAGAAATCCAGTAGATGGTCGTGCAATTTTTCACCCCATTCATTCCTATGGGAAAACAATTCAGAATTTAAGATTGTACGAAAACCACGCATCTGATCAAAAAGCTGTATACAAGCCCGAATCACACAATCAGACCGGACGATCTGGAGTTGGAACGGTACTGATATCTCAAAAACTGCTGGAAGAGATACGCAACAAAAATCAACAGGAAAATAGGAATTAAAATGAAGAATATAAAACAAAGAACAATATATAATATATATAATCATAATAACTTGTAATATATTTAATATCACTTTTGAAACCTGTGACACTGTGGAGTTAAAGTGGCATTTAACTGGTTTTATATTATTGAAAACAGTGATTCAAACTGACGCCAATAGTGATTATATGGGTTTTACGGTCTCCCAGTGGTCCAACTCATCTGCCTTCCTGAGGTCTGCCCAGTTTGAGGCCTCTGGAGCTCATTGGAGAAAGAAGGCAGGGTCCAAGGCTTGCCTGTTTGTGCCCGTGGGCAACCCCTGGAGCCAACTAGAGGTCTTGACCCACTCTAACTCATCGAGAGTGAATAGTACCCCAGGGAGTACTCAGGGAGTCTACTCACTACAGATCTTTGGACGTCCCCAGAGAACCAGAGGACCCTACAGCAGCCCATGCTAGGTTGTCGCTAACCAGGAGCAATCCCTTTTGAGGGTTGCTACAGAAGGTGACCCATGGGTTTTCAGGTCTCCTGGTTGCCTGCCCCATCTAGAGAAGATGGCTTTGAGCAAAACCTGGTGAGCACGTCATAGATTGGAACCAGTCGTGCTTATACTAGCATTGAACAGCAGCACTGACTTTAAATGATCTTTATTTCCTGAAGAAACACTGTGTAATGATCGCACTCAGGCACTCATCCAATAGTACCTGCTCTGTGAGGGTCCATGGGGGTCCTGACCACTGAAGAACAGGGTAAAAGGGGGCTAACAAAGTATGCAGAGAAACAGATGGACTACAGTCTGTAACTGTAGACCTACAAAGTGCACCTATATAGTAAGTGGAGCTGATAAAATGGACAATGAGCGTAGAAACAAGGGGGTGGTCATAATGTTATGCCTGATCGGTGTGTATATGTCTGTATATATATTTCAAGCTGGAAACTACAAGTTAGAACTTCTTAAATGTAAATATTATACTGTAATCATTCATTTACAGATTTTGTTGGGTTACTGCCCTCAATATTTAATCACCACTTAAAATGCAAGGCATTCTGGAAATCTATTTATTAATTATAATTTCATTCTCAGTGGTCAACAGATTTCCGAGTCCTTTCAGAAGCATTTAGAGCTCTGTTCATCATCTAGACACATCTAGCATTTCCATTCCCCCCTTATGTCCTGCTTACTATTTCAAAGCTGTAAGTTGCACAGAACTACCACATTAGAATCCTAATATATATATATATATATATATATAAATATATATGTATATAAGACACTAAAACTGCCCCCATCAGATAAACAGCACTTAAAGCTTTCATCTCTGAGAGAGAGGAGAAAATCAAGCTGCTTCAGATCTGAAAACATCCACAGGTGTTTCTGTCCATCCTTCCACTGTGAGAAGACGACTCAGCGCTGTGGGTCTGAAAGGATGTGTAGCTGTCACTGAGAAAAGGAGACGGACACATCAAACAAAGAAGCTGAACAATGGACTGACCACCCCAGAGTCCAGACTTCAACCACTGAATGTGTTTGATTACTTCAGAAAATGATCAACCAGCTTCTAAGACTGAACTTTGGAGGTGTGTCTGCAGATTCTTTGAGGAACTGAAAGTGAGTCTCCTGAAAAGAATGGAAGCTGGAATAAAGGTGATAGTTGTGAAAACACTAAACACTGAAAAATGTGATATATTTAGTTGTTGAGGCTTCTGTGTAACTTTCTGTTACATATGTTTTCTGCTTTTTTCAGATTAAAAATACAAAATACAAAATGAAATTTGTAATTATCAGCCATTTTTGACTGGAAATGAAATAAATGAAAGAGTGGACTTTTGCACAGTACTGTACTTTACTGACGTGAAAGGTAGCCCATGGTGGACATCATTGCAGTTATCGCTATTCTACAGACCACTCTACTTCATATGAGTGGCCCCACACTCTGAATGGAGGCTATTATCCCAAACAACTCTGAAGTATCCAGTAACTATTAGGAAACTGTTATATAAAGGCTCCTCAATAGATCTTTAGAGTTGAAGTGGTCAGTGGACCACGAATCATTAAAAAAGGAGGCAATTTCTTACCGGATGAGGTCCAGCAGCGCGTCCGCTGAGCTCATGATTGGCTTTCCACTGTCCTCTGCGTCCTCCTTCTGCGCTGCCCCGCCCGGATGGATGATAATGACCATGACGATGCCCACAACTACGGCTACAAAGGTTGTCCACAGGTAGTATGAGATGGTCATGATGCCCAGCCGACTGGAGCACTTGGCATCCAGGGCTGCGAGACCCGACATCAAACTGAGAAGGAAGGTGAGAAATGGTCAGAAATATGGAATGATAATAACTCTGCTACACAGAATAATCCTTAGTCACTCTGATGAGACATTGCCACCCATTAAGCTTTTCTCTGTCAGTTTTCATTTCATGGAAAAAAAAGTTTTTAATTTATAGACTGGCTTTTGCCAAAGCTTTTTGGTATAATAATAAGAACTGTCATGGGCCTGGTAGACTGACATATCTAGTATATGAGAGAAATTATTCCCAATTTTTCTTTTGTGGGCACTTATTAATTGTAAAGTGACTATAAAACATAACAAATGAGCTTTGAGTCCATAAAAAAGAGCACTGTTGTAAGAACAAAGTTGGCACACTATATTGAAAAATGCTGTAATTTGAAAAGTTTTTAATAAAACTAACAACACTAGATAAGTATTTGGGCTTTTGTGCCTCACTTAATAATGTATAAAGCTCTTTGTGTTTGGAAACAAAATGTCAAACCAAGTGGGATTCATTGTAAACAGAACAGTCCAAGAGCTTGGCTGGTGGCTGATGTTTTTCAGACTGTTTTTGTTCAGATTGTAATTTCTTTACAGGCTTTTTATAACAAAAATAATTAGTTTGATTAAAATAGCATTCTTCTCAAACCAATGGATACTTTGAATTACAACAAAACTATAAATCAACAGAAAAAACACCCCACCTGGCAGGGAGAGAAACTCTCCCAACTGTGATCTAAAATCTACTGGCTTGAGGCCCAGTCAACCTCTTTTACTGGCATACAAAGTCTCCTAGCACGAAGTCCAGTCAAGCATAGCTACTGCCATGAAAAGTCTCCCATATTGTGGCCCAGTCAAACCCTGCTACAGTGGTGAAAGGTTTCCTGGCTCATGGCCCAGTCAAACCCCTCTACTGCAGTGAAAAGGCTCCTAAATCATGACCCCGTCAAACTCTGATACTGAAGTGAAAAGTTTCCCGGCTCATGGCCCCGTCAAACCCCACTACTGTGGTGAAAAGTCTCCCGGCTCATGGCCCCGTCAAACCCCACTACTGTGGTGAAAAGTCTCCCGGCTCATGGCCCCGTCAAACCCCACTACTGTGGTGAAAAGTCTCCCGGCTCATGGCCCAGTCAAACCCTGATACTGCAGTGAAAAGTCTCCCAGCTCATGGCCCTGTCAAACCCCACCACTGCAGTGAAAAGTCTCCTATATCATGACCCAGTCAAACCCTGATACTGCAGTGAAAAGTCTCCTGACTCATGGCCCTGTCAAACCCCACTACTGCAGTGAAAAGTTTCCCGGCTCATGGTCCCATCAAACCCCACTACTGCGGTGAAAAGTGTCCCGGCTCATGGCCCTGTCAAACCCCACTACTGCGGTGAAAAGTCTCCTGGCTCATGGTCCCATCAAACCCCACTACTGCGGTGAAAAGTCTCCTGGCTCATGGCCCAGTCAAACCCTGCTACTGCAGTGAAAAGTCTCCTGGCTCATGGCCCAGTCAAACCCCGCTATTGCAGTGAAAATTCTCCTAGCTCATGACCCTGTCAAACCCCACTACTGTGGTGAAAAGTGTCCTGGCTCATGACCCCATCAAACCCCACTACTGTGGTGAAAAGTCTCCCAGCTCATGGCCCTGTCAAACCCCACTACTTCAATGAAAAGTCTCCTGGCTCATGGCCCAGTCAAACCCCACTACTTCAATGAAAAGTCTCCTGGCTCATGGCCCTGTCAAACCCCACTACTTCAATGAAAAGTCTCCTGGCTCATGGCCCAGTCAAACCCCACTACTGCGGTGAAAGTCTCCTATATCATGACCCAGTCAAACCCTGATACTGTGGTGAAAAGTTTCCCGGCTCATGGCCCAGTCAAACCCCGCTACTGCAGAAAAATCTCCCGGCTCATGACCCAGTCAAACTCCACTATTGTGGTGAAAATTCTCCTGGCTTGCAGCTCAGTAACACTGTGCTACTGCCCCAGCTTCTGGCCCAGTCAAACACCATTACTGGGGTGAAAAGTCTCCGGGCTTCTGACCCAGTCAAACTCTATTACTGGTGTAAAAAAAGGCAGACAAATCTATTTATAAACCATAGCAGTGAAACAGTTTAAACTGTGTAATATTTTAAACCATGAAATTCAATTTGCTGGACTTTAGGTTGCAAACTATGCAGTCTGTATGCATGACTGGCTGCTGAAACAACTTAGTCACCTTACTTTGCTAGCTTGCTATTAGGATTTACTAATGAGGATGAGTGCATTCTGTGAATTAAAAAATCCACTCCTTGCTGCCCCGTCCTCCATTCTTGTAACGTAGTGATGAGTCAGTGTTGTTGACGGCATATTGAAAACTATTGAAATGAAGCCTCAATTAATTACTCCCATAATTCCTAAAGGAAATTAATCAGCTTTGCATGAGTTTGAGCTTCATATTGTTCTGCACACTATAGAAATAAAGATGTAAACCTTTATATAGAGCTTCAGCATTATACTGTGTTATGACATTTATAGAACAGTTTATGTCTGAAAGATATGAACTACTGAACTGTTTATAATAATTCTGTTAGTTATTTTATAATTATGATTATGATAATTGCCACTGGGTCAGCCAAATCCTGAAATGTATTCAAACAGACTGCACAAAATGAACCCTGGCTTTTGACTAAAATGTACCAGTGGTAATTACTGAAATTCTGATGACTGAGCAATGGCCACATCCTAGTGTTTGGTCCTAAATGGCAACAGATTAGAGGTTCTGGTTGCCACTGGCACAAGAAATGAGTCATGGAAGGCACATGGCACAGCTGGGATTCAAATGTATTAATTCAGATTTCAAATGGTGTTTATTTTCCATGAGCCAACCACGGTTAAAAAAACAACAATGCAGATTTCTTTGGCTCTTCTAATTTGATGCAGCCTCCAAGTAGGCCTGGTTTCTCTGATGATGGCCCTACATGTGGCAGTTTTTTCCCAGCTCCAGACCTGCAGTCCAACTGCACTGCACAGTTTTGAATTGTTCTCACGCTAACCAAGCTGAGCGGGATCCAGAAGGACTTGGTTGTTAGCCAGTGGTGTGACTGTAGTGTACATAACTGGAGGGGAAGCTGGGAAACAGTGGCTTAGGGATGTGTTAAATGGCAGCAGTGGACCACTGCTGTGATGAAGTTCTCTAAGTATAATTAAGCAAAGCATTCTAATCACCAGCGCACCATCAAGACACAGAGTGATGGCACAGATGATGCTGTTTTACAGGGAAAAACAAGCCATAAGAAAAAATTAAAGCAAGTAACACTGGCTAAGGCAGCTGGCCAGTGCATTAGTAGTTAAATCTGATATGTGGACCACATTCTCCTCAGACACTCTGCTCTGAGAGACCAAACAGGCCATCCCTGTAATCTAGCCTACAGGGTGACATTTTGAGTGAATGGGCTTCTCAGCTTCCCTGCTGATTCTAGAAGTACAGCACAGCTCTCGACAGCTTTTGGGAGAATTAAGGCTGATCTCCAACAAGACTCCAGCCAGCCACAGACATATCCCACCACAGCCTGACAGCAGGGGGTTATAGGTATTACTCCATCCGCTCAGCAGGAGAGACAAGAGACGTGACATGAGACAACAGCCGAGAGTGGCTGTAACAACTGGGTCTTTTGATAAAGTCGATGCCAGAGGTAGATTTTTTTGTATCTCATTTTCTATTTGGTTTGGTCTGTTTTATGATGCAACCAATAGTTAACAAAGGTGTGTTTGTTGTTTGGTTAGGAATCTGCGAAGGATACAACCATTCTATCACTTCTACAGTAGCCCTTTCACATGATTAATGTCCAGACAAAACTGCCATAAAGCTATTCAGCACTAAAAAAGCAGAAAATATATTTAACAGAAATACTGAACTCTCAACAACAAAATATATCATTTTTTTCAGTATTTAGTGTGTGCACTCAGCCTTTATTACAGCTTCCATTCCTTCCAGGAGACTCACTTTCAGTTTCTAAAAGAAATCTGCAGGGATATTTTTCCACACCTCCCAAGTTCAGTCTTAGAAGTTGGTTGCATTTCCCAAGTAATCCCACACGACTTTTCACCTTTTTGAGGGTGAAACAGTCGCTCCTCCCTCCTGTCTGCTCCTCCTTCTGCCGTGCTGTGGCTGCCATGGAACAGTGTAGTGGGACATTGTGAAAGCAGAGCTGGTCTGCATATCTAAAAAAATCTCTGGTGAAACTGCAACTTGTTTGACTGAATTGCAGTAATGCTCTTTCAAATTGTCCACGATAACGCATTTTTAATATCGCAGTATAGCAAATACCGGCACATAGTCTAGTTACAAACATTTCTGCATTTTGTTCATTTTATTGCATTTACAACCCACCCTGAAAATATTTAATTAATTAGTTGTGCTAATCTGAGTATATTTACTCCCAATTTCAGTATTTTATGAATGTTTATGTACTGACACCAGCATCTACTGATATATACACAGAAAAATATATCGGATATTGGCATCGGCTTACAATTCCCATATTGGTGGACCAGTACATTCAAACTCAGTCTCTCCAAGATGTTCTGGATAAATAGATGGCATGATGTTCATTGCTTGTATATGAAATAATCAACAGTATAAGCAATGAATTGAAAAGAATTGAAAACACAATGATTGGTGAATTCATTAGGCTGTCACCACTTCAGGGCCTACTTCCTATCAACATGTACAAGCCCTATTCCAAAAAAGTTGGGACAGTAGGTAACGTGCAAATAAAAACAGACAGCAGTGATTTATACATTTACTTTAACCTGTATTTGAACAAAAGGAGTAGATAAACAGGATATGCTATGTTTTATCTTACAACTTCATTGTTTTTATTGTAAATATACACTAATTCTGAAATTGATGCCTACAAAAAAAGCTAGGACAGGGGTAAAAGTAAGACTGAGAGCATTGTGAAATGTTCAAAAACATCTTTAATAGTTGATGCAATCAATATTTGGATAGAAAGGGAACATCCAGGAAAGGCCAAGTACTTTATGAGCAAG